AAACTTGACTATATAGGACAGAGAAGAGAGTTGCAAATTTTGGACAATTTGTTGGACACAAACACTTAAAATGTACCGTTTACAAATTAGTAGTTTTTGCACACATGAAATGAACAGTAAATTGATAATTATTTAGTGAATTTCCAATAAGTCGTTTAAACCGTGCTTGGGTGTAATGATCGGGTTAGCTACCTAGAATTGTATGATCCCGTTATACTAGGCAGGTATCACGATCGCTGCTAGTTTATTGGAAAGCGAGGCGCACGTGGCTGGTAGCCGAGCCGTTGCGCGTTCTATAGTATGTAATAAACTATTTACTGACCGATTTTATTTCGAATGAATTGTTTTTTGTTATTATTCATTCCCTAAATTATATTTTTAATGTTCCAAACTGATTTACGATTTTATTAACCTACTAGCTATTTAACGCAATTTTGATCGCACAGACCCAAACTTTTTTTTTGCTGTTGCAGCGAATGTATTTATAATAATTTAAGATTATGTTCGATAAAAAGAAATAGCAACTGGTTTCAGACTGAATAGATGGTTGGTTATGGTTGGCTGGTTACTGTTAGTCAACTTTTGTTACAACTTTCATTCCAGAGCGCGTTTTCCCTATAAATTGATGCGATTCGTGGTAGATAGAGTATATAGGTTAGTTGATCTTTCTTGGCTTACCAATTATTAGTAGAGACAATGTAATACTAATCAGCTCTATGGATCTAGTGATGAATCGTGTCCCCTGTGGGCACTTGTGTATACAAAATATATATTCGTACATATTAAGTATTATACGTAACTGTACTTCTACTTCATATACACACGACAGATTCATCTGAGTACCTATATGATTTTGAAATTTGTTTAGTGACTTGCACTCCTACATTTATATTGTCATCGTTATATTCAAAGTTACCGTTTATCTGTTTGTATCATATATTGTATAATATGGTCTATGTTAAGTCATTCTACTTGAGATGACCACAGTGTGTTTAGTAGCGGTTGAGTTTGTAAGTGTGACAACCATTATTCTTGACACTCATTGCTAGATTTCACTCGTATTACCGTAATATTTTTAAATGTCTGCACTTTATTATAATATCCAAATACTTATCTTGATAATAATAAAATTAACTTTATTGCTCAGATTTGGGACGAATAATTATTTCGCTTTTATTTTTTCAAGGACTCGGATTCTTTCTTAATCGATCCTTTTGGAAGTTATTTTGGCAGCATTTAAACATTTTTTTTTTCATCTAATTTATATATTTTTTTTGGCTACATAAAACTAAGATGACCGATATTGAATTTTTTTCTTTGTGTTGTGGTTGTGAGTATTGATAATATACATAGTTTTACATGTCTATGTATTAAATCGTGACGTTTTATGATTGCGTGCTGAAGAGCAGTTGTAAGCCAGGCCTAAGAAACTGATTCAAATGCTCTAGTCTATTGCATGCAACCCTGACATGAACTGCTAATGGTCAAGTGACACAAATCTTTAACACACTTCTATTTGTATTGTCTGTCTTTTCTATCCAAGATTTAGATATTTATCGAATTTATACTCGTACATATCCACACAAATTAAAATGTATGATCATCTTTGATTAACAGTGATTGCTAATAATAGAAATTAGTGATCATTTTCAGATTGAATTTCTTCCAGGCCCCTCTGGCAACCATCGTAGATAATTTTTGGGTAAACAACCACGACGGTTTCAACGACGGTACCCCGTCAACGTAAGTCGATATTTCAGGCGAGGTTACTATGAAAATATAAATTACCTAGATGGTGCTCCGAATTAAACTTATTTTTTAATGTTATCTATCATTAGGCATCAGCTTGTGGTATGACATTGTAATGCAATTTATTACTGCGTAGTAACCGAATGTAAATATTAGTGTCATAACCACAGATGTGATCATTAGAGCTGTTAGTACAGCAAGTATACCAAAGCGAAAGGAAAGTATAAAACATTTACGTATACTACGTATTTGAGTATGTAATATATAATGTACGAGTATGTAGGTACTGGCTGACACGTTTCGGCTTTGGACAGATAAACAATAATAAGGGGACCCTGATGTGTCACATGGTATTCGTTCTTATTTGAACATTCATATCAAGTATTGATCCTGCAATGCTCTTTACGGGATAATATTTTGAATTTATAGTATATTAAATAAATATACTATAAATTCAAAATATTATCCCGTAAAGAGTATTTCTATACTTTAACAGAGTTACTCATGAAGTTTATTATGTATTGTTTAAGTTACAGATTGTCCGGTATCTATCTCGTACATTTGTCCTGTCTTCGTTGGTTTATAGTGAAGGTAGTCCATCGTCTCTATATGTAAACTACTCACTGACAGATAGATGTGACTAGATACACATATGTTCCTTAGGTAAAGTTTATCATGCTAAGAAATGGTTTTTAGGATTTTTTTTTGGTATCGAATCCCTACTAATATTATAAATGTAAGAGTAAATTTGTTAGTTTGTTACGTTATAGCGCCGTGACAACCTAAATAGTCACTATGAAATTTGGTATATACGTGCTATATAAGATGGAGAAAGATTACAGGTTATTCTTTATCTTGGTTACTAAAATATATGGTGGTAGTTACTAAAATATAGGGGTGTGGGCAAAGCCACGGGATATTTTACTAATCTGTAGTATCTAAATAATAACGTAGTACAATAAGCACTGAAATATTGATTATATTGGATAACTCTGCAGCTGACTGCCTAGTAGTTACATCATTTTCCGATTGGTAATTTTATTTTCGTTTTACATCAGCGCGTCAGCACGAACTTGTCATTGTATTTTAAAGTTGAACATTACCTATTATAGTTACAGATACATTTCTTGTTACATGCTCGTATCCTCGTATCACGAGTCATTATTTGGACAAGATACCTCTATTTTTGTGACGAATCATTGGCGAAACAGTTTTTAATCCGGGTCGTCTGAGTCTTCACTTATTCAAGTTTTTGCTGATATGCCGCAATTGAATAAACATTGAGAGAAGGCTGCTTTTATATTACTTTAAGATGGCTCTTATTACTTGATTTTTTTATTTCAGTGACCTGTGGTTCATTAAGGTCAATATTTCCACAACGAAGTCTTGAAATCAGTAATAGACTGGCCGTTCATTTGTGGTTAAAGTCCCGTAAACATCATTGAAATTGGTCGCATTATGTGACACGTTCGTACCACAGCGAAATTTATATCCCTATGTAGATTGGTTGACAAAATATTTGTAATTATTCAAAAAGGAATAATTTTATTATATTAAATTGTAAAAGTATAATACTATGTATTTTATAGGATATACTAAAAAAGTATTTATTAATTAATTATTTATATACTGTACAAAATTTTAAATGAAGTTTTCGTATGTCTATATGTAACATCGTCAACATCTTCCTATTCTTATTCCAATTATTTGAGATCGGCGTAATATGTTTTTATTCATATTATTCTAGGTTTTGGCTTTTGATTTTACGATCGATCGCTTGCTTGACATTAACTCTCCTTTGGAATGCATTTGTTGATGGCGTTCGTACAGTATGAAGAAAAGGAGAGAGACTTTGGGAATGAGTAAAGGATGATTGTAAAAAAGGAATGAAGTATTTATGGGGAGAAAAAGCCCATCTACGGTAGTTGCAGAGGAGTCACTTGTCAGATATTGCAGTGGATTAGGAGGCCGGAGTCGCATAGTCGTGTGTCTTTATTCTATATCCGGAAAAGCCCTCTAGACAAGTGGCAAGCGAATCCATTAATGAAATTACCATCGTTAGCGATTCTGTGAGATAGAATGAGATAGCAGCGTTGGATGTCTAATTCCAACACATTGACTCCCTAGCGATGACAAATCCATCGACGAATTCGCTTGCCACTTATCTAGGGGATCAGATCACTATAGGAGAACACCCATATTTGTGTATAAAATATTCGGATAGAAAATTCTTTCGATCTAATCGAGTAGATCATAAGAAGTTCTCAAAATTTAATATTGATATGATCTTTTTGTGTAATTTCCGTCTATGAAGTGTTATAAAATATTTATTTCATTATCATCTTTTGTCTCCGCGTAACTAAACTAGTAACTAAGCTACAACGTTCTTGATTTATGATTAAATAGATTACATTCTCCAAATTACAAACTCATTTAGTCATATAAACAGTTCATCACAAATGCAGTTTCGTATAATTATAGTTACGAATTGCGTATTATATTTAACAGACGCGAGATACAAGGGAGAAGTAAATAAAAAAGACGTAGTAAAGTAAGTAGGGTCTAGAAACAGAATTTTACACAAATATTGAATAAATATGCGCTGTCATGGAGTGCATATGTGACAATTGTGATTGTGTATGATCAGTGGTGATTGTGACTGCTTAAATCTTTTCGCTAATGTTTTAATACGTATATAATGCATCTGTGATTTAAGGTTATTATAATCTATTATTAATTTTTTTTTTACATTTTCTTAATAATAGATTATTAACAAGTCTTTATCTAGATGAAATGTTTCAACACCTATTTACTGTTGATGATAATCTTAAGCTAATGCAATAATTCTATACCAATGTAATGCTGGGTCGACATGGCAGCAACTTCAAATTAGCGCGTGGACTTGAAAATTGGCTAGACGGGACTTGAAGTTGCGGTCGTTTTTATTTGTTATAATAGTTCACTGTATGCTTGTAAATAAATAAATTATTGTTACGGAAATCCCAAAGCCCGAGTCCTTCTATTTTTTCAGAATCGCTGATTATATTACCGTGTTACATTGTTGCTTATAGGAAGAGATTACGTCTATTAGGTAATAATCGCATTAGCATAAAGTCAGTTGTTCGGTCATTTATCAGGACAGGTGTGCGGCGGCGCAGACGCTGTGGGCTGGAGATGCGCGGCTGAGCCAACACTTTCACTCTCGTCGGTGTGACAGCAGTGGTGGCGGCAGCCCGCCGCAGTGCCGCCGCGCCATCGCCGTCGGCCGCACCGATTGTTTGCGCAAATTGCACGAACCACAGCGACTGATCGAAACCCGGTGTCAATCGTATGCTCTGTTGCGCATGAGCTCGTCTCAGCGTTGCTTTGCTGAATATTCAGATCGTGTAGTGAAAAACTCACGGCTATTTTTAGGTTTGATGTTTCTTCAGATCGCTGTTATTACATGAAGTTTGACGGCGATAAGATCGTGACTTTTTGTCAGTTTATATTCACATGTTCAGTGTGTGTGTTTGTGTGTGTGTTAAGGTTTTGTTGCTCAATAATTGAGTATCATCCTGTTTATATATTGCATAATGACTGTGAATTTGTTTTGCTAGAACACAACAATCAACTCAGTGTTTAAATTATCAATACGTATTGTCAAAACAGAGAAAGTAGTGAATTTCAATGTTTAAGTTTCACCCTTGTGTTAACATTTATTGACACTTGATTTCGTAACTATTGTTTGTGAATACATTCGTGACTTATTACAACTTACTTCATTGCGTATCTGTGGTCTGCATAAAATAAAACACGGGTGTGAGTGCCAGTACCTTGGCTTATATGTACGATTCATTAATAGATACTTGTATACAAGCAAGTGTTGGACGTTTTAAATGTATTCGGCACTGGTTTATTGACGCGTGTATAAATTTTATTGGGGTCGAATCTGTATTGTCAAGGTTACCGGGGCAGGCTGGATGGATACAAGTCGGAGCAGAGGCGTATAATGCGCACATAACGAGCGAAGCGACGTTTACTGTAAATAAATAATGACCTAATTGACGTATGTAGCATATTTGCTATTTTTGAATGTGACATGTACCTTCGTTTAAATTGATTCTAAGATTGATAAACATATTAAACAATTTCTTTATAGTAAAATATAGTAAAATCAAAAGAACCGTGCCTACTTTCGACGATTTCTACAGGGCCGCCTTTTCTCTCGGCCATCTAACATCTGGTTTGTAGAAATCTCCGATTGCAATGGAAATGTCCCGACAGTGTGACCCTTACTAGACGTGTGCTGCACGAAACAAACACGAATGCTAAGAATTAATTTATATATCCTATAATATTTTGTATATAATTATGGCTTACTGATAGCAATAAATTATAAAATGCCTCATTACGACGAAAGTTTTATACATGATGACAATCAAAATCAGCGCAGAAATAAACGCAGCTATCGTGTTTATAAAAATGGGTTAAATACCAAGAGTGGATTAGAATCCAGTGAAGTTTTACAAACTCTAGAAGACAGAGATACTTCGGTTATTAAACGAAATGTAAAAAACATCAAGCATCGGAATAAATGGGATTCTTCAGGTTTAACTGCACAAAAAGCTACAAAATATAAGACTCCAGATATAATTGTGGATCATTGTCCTCGAATTACTGTGTTTAATTCTAACGAGTGTTGTGACATAAGAAATAATAATGTAGTATCTCTGCCCTCTTGTAAAAGTTTTGATAATTTGACATTAAAGCAACATAGCAGAAATGACTTGTTTGTAGACAAAATAAAAAATGGCGTTAGTCTCCAAAATTTATTTGGCGATGGGCAACTTAAATATTACGCCTCCCCTTCGGAAGAATATTTATCAGTACCTCGCAAAGATGATGCAAAGAATTCTTACTCTATCATCGAGGCTTATCGTAGGCCAATGCAACGTCGTATTTCAAGACCAGCTCCTGCGCCAGGATTTGGAGTGTATCGACAGATCAGCAGTGAAGGAATCACCAGAAAAGGTACAAAGGCATAGAAATAATACTTTTATAAAAATTATCCATGTATGCATATACATAATAATATAATAATAATAATCTAATCACATTTATGACTACATTACGCCACTTTGATCGCATACATTTTTTCATCATGCCTTTGCACAACGATAAACCATGCTAATTTTTCTTTAAATAGATTCAGTTCAGTAGTTATGTTAAACCGCATAAGTAAAAAGAATATATACCATACAATAATTATTTTCTTTGGTTATGTTTGTGCTCGCGGAGAAAAATAATTTTGTTCCATTCCTTTGGGATCTTCAAAATGCCCAATCTTAATGTTCACTTATATTAAGCATATTATATTTCTGTGCAAAGTTTCATTGTTTTTAGACCTAGCATTTATGCCTGTTGTCATATTGAGTTGGTATATTCTGACCACTACACCTTGAATATAGATTAGTAGGAATTGTCGTTTTAAGTGTTTTATTATTGAGACCAATATTGAAATATCTATAAAAGTACTATGATGTATCCATTATCTTTGTAATTTTTACACAATGCTGCTCTTTCTCAACCTTTTTATTTTAAATCTATTGCCATTTTTTTCCGTAAACGTTGTGACTGTTGTCATTTTAATAAATGTATTTTTTCTATTAGTACGATATATTTTTTACAAATTAATAGATATCTCTACTGTAACATGTAGAACGGTATATGTGTAATTTGATAACGTCCTTCATTGTCATGTTGCAAAATTGAAAGTACGTAATGCGATATCAGTGTTCTATTTCCATAGAGCGAGACGGAAGAGTACACTAGTGAGCTTTCAGTTTTTCTTCCTTGTACGTGTCATTGTGCTTTGCTATGAGCTGGTGTATCTTATAAACATGTGATCTTGTATAATAAGGTGTAAGAGACGCGGGAAATCGCACTATTGAATCCATTGTTGAGATAATGTTAAGGCCGTACGCCTATTGAATAATGGTTGCAGATTATACTCTTGTAGAATAGTTTTTTTCGCATAGTATATATATATATATATATATATATATATATATATATATATATATATTATTGCACTAAAGTATACAGTAATAATAATAAATTAGTAACAAAGGCGAATTTATCTCTAAAAGAGATTTCTTCCAGTAAATCAATACAATGGCATAGGAAGTAGTAAGCCCACTCACTAGTAGTAGTACTTAATTACACAACTGCCCTCACGGTTGAAACACGAATGGGACAGAGGTGCCCAAGCAAACAACTTTTGTACAGTGTCCCTCTGGTGTACTTTATCATATCTTCGAAAATATTAAATTATATGCTGTAAAGAGCCATATTAAGTGCACAATGTATTTAAGGTACTTAATTGTATAAGGATTAATGCTGTATTGCATAAAATCGCTTCGTAAATACGTTATTATTTCTTATTAAAAGTAAACGATAAAAAATGGTTGTGTGTTGACCTTCTGAAGGTGTATAATACTGTAGTACATTATTTTGATCTATCTTGTAGGGTTTAGCAACAGAGTCGTTACGGTCAGTGTTCGCATGTGAAAGAGTAAGATAGCGCACATCTTTATCTCATTCTATCTCATGCATTTGCTAGCGATAATGATTCTGTTAATCGATTCGTTTGCGACTTTTCTAGGAGGCCAACATTGAGATTATTAAGGTGTAAAGCTTATCTTACAAATAACGAAAGTTATGTTATGTTACAAATAATGATACATTTTGCAATTAAGACTTTGTTACTGGACTTCACATTTAAAATATTTTATTGCATTCTGGATAATGTTGGTTTTGAATTAATCTATAATAAATAAATGATTTTGTACTTGTTTCTTTACATAGCATATCAATAATATCTTTTTTTTTACTTTTATTAGCTTATAACATAATACATTATTATTGGATTTTCAAACATTGACTAGAAGAAATCCCACCCAGTGAAAAGTTTGCTACTGTATTTGTTTTCTGTAACGTAATTACGAAAATGTCGTTTGTGGAAGCCCTTCGGAAGTGTATTCTTACTATGTAGGTACACTTTGTTTAGCATAATACGCCAGATCGAATGTTGAAAATGATTATAACGTTTTAAGTAATTCACTTCTTCCTAATTATAATAAACTATTACAAATTAATTTAAAAACTGTCGAAAGTGGTAAAACCACTTTCATTTATTTTGTATTTGAAGATTAAACTGGGTTTGTGGATAACGTTTATAAAATATGTAAGTATAGTATAATTTGCATACTAATTTGGCTTATTTATTTAAATCACCTGCTTGTTCGTGAAAATTGTGATTTATTTATGTTACAATCTTTAACTCGCGGCTTTGCTTGGAAATAGTAAAAGGTTTTTTTTTTTTTTTTTTTTTTTTATAAAACTTAGAATGGCAAACAAGCTGACGGCCCACCTGATGGAAAGTGGTAACCGTCGCCTATAGACATGAGCAGTACCATGGACATAACAGAGTATACTGTTTCGGCCATGATACCCCCCATGCGTTGCCATTCCTGAGGACTCAGGTGTTATTCCTCTGTACCCAGTAAATTCACGCCATATCCCACCCTTCAAACCGAAACACAGCCATGCAAACACAACTGTTTCACGGTTGAAACACGAATGGGACAGAGGTACCCAAGCAATCGACTTTTGTACAAAGTCTCCCCTGGTTCTTACACTTTATAAGATTAAAACTGCTCATCTGTGATAATCTGTGCACGACACATTCCTTTATATTTATCAAAACAATTGAACATCATTAAAAAGTTTCACGTTTATAAAGTTATTAGCATTCTTTATAATGTTGGTATCTATCTATCCTATTTAAGAGCTGCGCTCTTGTCGGTGTAGCTCTTTCACTACGATTTTCAGCGAGTCTCTTCACCTCTTGATACGACACGACACAAACTTCTTCCTTGATCTGCTTGATGTAACTATGTCTCGGTCTCCCTCTTCCCCTCCTTCCTTCTATCTTACCTTCTATTATAATGTTCATAAGTTCGTCGTGTCGTATCAAGTGTCCCAACATTTTTCCCCTTCTGTCCTCAATAGTTCTAATAATTTGTCTATTTCCTTAACCCTAAGCAGGACCTCCTCATTGCTAATTAGATTTACAAATTTTTATAATAATTCTAAATATAGTAACTATTGTATGTATTAATACCAGCGATTTTTTTTTGGGGGGGAAAGGGATTGTTAGTAATGGAGACTGAGAATCCCATTGCTAGCAATATACCCAACCAGGTCGCCTCCTCGCGGTTCCCCCTGGAAACTATTTGATTAATTCCTGATGAATTCATCATGATGGGCTAACTGGCCTGTTTTTATTCTCATCTATCACCCTTCACTGGTGCTCCGCCAGCGTATCCCGTTAGCGTAGGCGGGGTTACCATACCATTTTCATCCAATACAAAAAAAAAAATACCAGCGTTTTGCTGGTATCTAGTTAACCCTTGCGAGGTTTTTGGATATGGCACGTAAATAATAAAATCTTTACCTACTTGGTAAATAATTGCAATACTGAAGATATTTATGACATTAGGCGGAGCAATAAAGTTATATTTGCTACAAGGTGTCAGTGGATGCAGGTGACCGGAACCGTACCTTATGAGAATTTAGATAGACCTATCTTAAGCATTGGATAATTAATGGCAGAAATAATGATAATATGGCATATAGATTTAAAAAAAACTAAGTTATTATCGATAGAAATCGATGAGATAATATAGGTAGTTATCTTTTATCCAAGTCTACTCTTTCTTTTACTTTCGTAAAAAAAATGAAAAAAAAAAGGAACTATGAACTAGGAACTAATTCACTGAATCGACAAGACTAAAATCATGTCTAACGTCCATGGCACACATATATTGATTACGATTGAGAACACTACGTTCGAAGTCATCGACGAGTATGTATACCGGGGACAATTTGTCTGAATAGATAGCGTTCGGAAAACGTCACATCTTTTCATCCAAAATACCTCAAAATTTGAAGACGGAGGTTTTTAACGAGTATTCGTGCTCAGTGCTAACTTATGGAACTGAAACATCATTGCCCGTATGCAAAAGCTTCAAATTACTCGGTAGGCTATGGTTATTTCTAGAGTGGACTATAGAGCTATGGTCGGAGTTTCTGTGCGTGATAGAATCCGAAACAAGGATATCCGCAAAAGAACTAAAGTTACTGACAGCCCGAAGGATAAGCAAGCTGAAGTGGCAATGGGCAGGTTACATAACTCGAAGAACCGACAACCAATAGTGAAAAATGGTTCTTTGGCCCGTACGGGCAAAAGCAGTGTAGGTAACATCCCCCCCTCCCCCACCACTAGATGGAGTAACGACCTCAAATGCTTTGCAGGGAGTCAGTGAATGCAGGTGACTTAGGACCGTTCCTTATGCCAGTCTATGTCCAGCATAGGCCTCCTCCAGTGGACGGATAATGGCTAAAATAATGATATTGATTAATATATGTACTCATATTTACATAGATACACATGCATGGTACATAATTATGATCCTAACACTAAAGGATCTTCCGTTTTAGTGCATATATGGAATTGGTGTGTAGAGTATTGAAAATGAAGGGTCAGACGACTCTTGTCATGGTTGCATACTAAGTAGTATTTTATTATATCATGTGTGTGTGTGTTTGTGTTGTGTATGACGCATTTGGTTATGTTGTGAACTTGTGAGCCATCATGATGTGGCACCGTGCGACGCGGGGCGATCAGTCGTACACCGCGGCTTTGGGCGCGTCCTCCTGTCGCCTTCGTGTTTATTTATAAACTCGGCGTCATTGCAATGATAAACTTGTGTTTACTTACTATTATTGCTTTGCGAGAAATCATACTCTTTAGCTAATATATAAAGTCTGCTTTTAGTCGCTCCTATGTCAATAATTAAGTGTTCAGTGAATAACAAGGAATTTTGCTGATTTGAAAGAACTGCACAATTGTTTCTTGGTATTTTTATTTGTAACTTTTTATATTTATTACAATTATTGATTTCAAGTGACATCCCTGGTGTTACAGGTGCCCATAAGCTACGGTAACCGTTTAGCATTAGACGGGCCGTATGCTTGTTTACCGCTATAGTATTATGAAAAAAAATTATAAGTAATCTTATATTTCATTAAAATTACTATAATTTAATTAATCTTGTGTGCATGTCTTGTACTTATACAGAATTGAAAGGCTGATAAATTATGTAGGTAAATGCTTGATATACTTATTGTCGTGATTAAGCATTAAATTTAATATACAATCAGTAGGTGTACTTAAATATTTTTACTTAATTGCGGAAATGCCAAAATAAGCAGCGATTTTAAAAAACGACCTACAAAAATCTATTTTTAAAAATAGACCTACGACTATAATTTGTACATAATACGAAATATGGCAAATATTAAATACTAATTTACCTCGATAGGTATATGGAATGTTGGAGTATTCCATAGTATTTGTATTATAATAATTCAGTTTCCTTGTTCGATTTAACTGGTATTGTAATATTCGTGTTTTTTTTTCTATTTGATAGGTACTGTCACAATAGTTGTGAGCATTATATATTTAATTTTTATTTTTAATTATCTCTGCAAGTCGTCGATTAATAATACGCTTGATAGATTCACTAAACTTGTTTTATTTAAAAGTAGTAATATGTCTATGTATTATATACATGTAACCTTGGCAAAGGCCATTTTGTTAGATTCATAATATTATTTATTAGGTTACTACTTCGATATTGTACGCTTACAAACTCGTCGACTGATGGTCACTTTACCTTGTATAGATTCAGTGAGCAATGACGATACGTCATTACGTTTTGCGTTGTTATTAATACAAGGTGTAATGGGAGCACATTAAACATTAGTCACTTCTTTAAATATATAATTTAAGATGATTATTTCATGAAATATCCTTTTCAAACTTGTTAAAATTAATATGGAACCAAACGAGAGCAACTCTAACGAGGTCTTTGAAGTTGGTTTCGAATTAGCGAATATTTTGCCATTATTATAATTTCCAGACAAAAGTTGCTTCTGTATTGACATAAATAATTAGGATTAGTACCAAAATGAGGACAAACTTTATTTATTTCCCCTAATTGAATTTAAATCCAAATTTAAGTCTTAAAAATCTCAAAACTTAAATTCAAAATCAGAATTAAAAGTTGCCGTATAAAATTTACTAATTATAGTTTGTTTTTTTGTTTTGTTATAGTTTGTTGCGGTGTCTTTGAAATAGCAATTTTTTAATATTTTTTAAATAACGGAGTACTATGTGTTATGAACCCCAATTCAAATGATAGGAAACGAAAGATAAAGGTTACTATTATATTGTAGGAGTTCAAGAATATGCTTGAGAATGCAAAATGGACTGTACAAACTCGATTGATTTAGAAAGATTTGTTTCTCGTCATTACAAAATTAAATTAACACGGGAGTAAATTGTATACATTACAAAAATAATGATTAAAATCAGTCCATAATTTGTGCACGTATCGTGCAAACAATACAACCAATACTATCCTTAATTCGAAGTTTGTTGCTAATAACGTTCATACGGTACATTAGATTTGGTTGTACTGGCGAGTATTACTTAACCACCGAGCCTATTTTAATGAATCCCTGCTTTAGACGTTTGACATTTGAGACTCATCTTTGCGCCACACTTATTGATGGGGCAGGATTTCTAAATAAAGCACAACAGAAGTTTGGTAATGTCGTAGGGCGTAGGGTAACACTGACTTTGGATTGTTAGATGATGTTAATATGAACGACAGTCGTTTAGTTTTAGAGCTCGATTTCATTAAATTTTTATGTTGAAGAAATCTTTATTTATTATTTTGTAATTAAACAAATCGTATAAAATTGTAAATATACTATTACTTACAATGAAAAATATTTTGGACAAAGCCTCACGGTAGTGAAATAAAAGCAAAAAGAAGCCATGGTAGTTGTAAACAATTATCGCGAACTTCTATTTACCACATAATTGTAACAACTGTACTGTAATTATGAGTAGTTATACAACTATGTAATTTTTATCTTTATTATACTCATGCAGTTAGTGTGATTGAGTCATTGTAATAATATGCTAAACGTCTGCTAATCTGTTTGCAGAGAGCGACGCCTGTGGGGAGCCGGGCTCGGGGCACCGAGGTTCTTTGCGCGGCGCCAACAAACTGGCACGGCGCGCGCGATCGTTCAAGGACGACCTGCTCGAACGCATCTCAAACATGCGCTCCCCTGCGCAGCAGCACCATCCGCCGCATCTCTCGTCCGCTATCAGGTCACTACCAATATTATCGTTCATATCCGTTGATTAGGTCAGTGACAGGCTAATTGATATATTGCGTAGGTAGCTATTTCGATGTCACCTAATGCTGTGTAGCTTATGTTTATTGGTATCGTTATAATGTAGCAATTTTATTACTATCGAATGAAATCATAGTTTTAAATAGTTTTTAAGTGATTTATTTATAATTCTGAACTATTTTACAATTCTTTGCAAACGATAGGGTTTACTGCCATGTTTATCCAATATCCAATATTTATTTTTAATATTAATCTTATTTTTTTATATAGTTATAGTTATTTGCAAATAACAGATCTTGGATGACGTTGTGATGATTGAAACTAGTTTTGTTGCGAATTTACTTGTAGACACAATATTTAAATTTCGCATTCTAAATTTAAATATTTGGAGTTGAATGTGTTTACGAAACATCCCTTCGTCCATTGGCGTTTTGTCATGATTGAAGTCAAGGGCACAAAATGTGCTGTTATTGGAACTTAATGTTATGTGTAAAATATTTTATTGATAAAGAGCATGATTTGAGTTACTATTAATAACAATTATATGCAGTAGCATGTATTTGTCGGCGCCGAGTTGAGTGAGTTTACTTTTTGATAGATGACTGTAGGTGTTATAGTACACCTAATATCTATGATAGTATAAACGGCATGGTGCTTCTGAATAGATCTTCTAAAATTTGGGAGATCCACCGAGTAAATTTCACTCAAAATATTAAATAATGGTTTTATTGTATAGAATATTAAAAACATATATTGACTTTTATGAGAATTGACCGTTTTAAACATATTGCCACAGTTTTCAAATTGAGTTTTAATGCTGTTTTGTACTAATTTTAATAATAGAAACTTATACAGTAATAGGCTTTCAAAAATATTAAAGTATTTGCTGAAATTGAAAAATATTGTTCGAATTTTGTACAATTACAATAAGTTTACAATTTGTTTATAACTGTCTAGAATTCCGGCATTTTGTGGGTTCAAGACTTCAGAGTGCTCGATAGTTATTAATTTTAGTATAGTCATTACGCGTACATAAGAAATATGTCATTCGCTCATGGTCACTAACCAACCACATTTGGTTTTAGGGTTTTTTGACCAGTTATTACGATTTCAAAGAATATATTGTCATGCTTGTGGTGCTCACACTTTGCATAAATATGGTACAATTAAATATTTGATATTTTTTAATGTTATATATAGAGCGCCATGTTTTACATAACATACTCGTACAAATATTGCGACATGTTGGGGTAGATTCTGAGGTGCCATTTTAGTTTTTATTGTAAGGATCGATATGAACTATTTTTATAATAGATTTAAGTAAAAATTATTATAAATTTAGTTTATGTGGTAAAATAATAATTTTACGAAATTATCATTTTAAAATATTGGGTTAAGAGATTTTATAGAAATTGACACATAAGAATCGGCTCTAATAAACTTAAAATACTTTGTATATTTTTTTGACTCCTACATTTAAAATTGCAAACTATACTTTGCTTATTTTTAATTTCAACTTATTCTTTTCTCGTGTCACATTTACGAGTATCTTAATATATAAAAATCCCATGTTTATTCTTTAGTCTAGTCTAACACCGAAATCACAATTTTAGTGATTTAGTTCATGGTTCACGAATGGGACAGAGGTGCCCAAGCAAACGACTATTGTACAAAGTCGCCCTCTGATAAATTTTAAAAATAAAAAGGTAAATCTCGTATTTCCTCTAACTTGGTAAATTTTATCCCGATATGAAAAATTGAGCCCTTAGGTGGCGGTACACGGCAGAACAACGTTTGCTGCTTTAACTGCTATATAAATTATAAAGATACATACTCTCTACCTATAAAAGTATCGTCATATTAATAGCGTATGATTTGTGTTAGTATTTCTCAGTTTATTATTAGCAAACATGATATCTCAAATACATCAATGTTATCTATGAACATGTGTACATTGCTGTGAAATCCACAAGTTGTATTGTTTCTTATCTAAATTGATAAATTTACATACATAACTTTATCTTTACTGGCAACGACGTGACATAAGAAAGTCGCTCCTTTTATCAGTTTTATCTGGGCTACCAGTGATAGAACAATGCTATTGTGTTACTTATTTAATTTTGTCTGCACCACATTTTAGTGGCGTGCGGTATCGTTCATGCATATCTAACCTTTGTACCGAATTGTGTGAAACAGTGTTTTAGTGAGTTACCGTTGGTACTCGACTGTTTTAACGGGGTTTGTGCATCAAAATTAAATGTGGATGTTTATTATGAGTCACCGTGCGTACCGCGACTGTCGCACTCATTAGGGTCTGTCACTGAAATCTCATTAGTTTAGTGCGTGCAATGTTAAGTGATTACATTATAATGTCCGCGCCCGGACTGTCCGCGTGACTGAATTGCTTTTTATTTATTATGCGGTTGTTGGACTTGCGTTTTTATTATACTTGAGGTTGTTCGAAAGTAGTCTCTGAGTGAAACGTTCAAGTTACTAGTGTGATCGAGTGTTCTTTACGGTTCAGGCGCAGTGTTCAGGTGATTTTAAATGTCGAACGTGCCGCGGTCGCCTGTCGGTGATTGGTTCAATAAACATTCGAACAAATTTCAGCTGAAGTTTTCTAACAATGGAAAAAGGTACAATTAATCCTTGTACTATTTATAATAATTGTTGTACTTTTGTATATTTAAGTACATCACTTTCGTTCATTCTATTTATAAGTTTATCATATTTATAAATAAATGATTCGTGCATGACCTTCAATGTTTAATCGTTTACTTTAGTTCCTGTGTTACTAAATACAAATTTATTCCTGAAACGTTTACTAAACATTATCGCAGGGGAAATTACGTATATTATTTATTTTGTGACATTACTATAATAGAAGTATAACAATAACACTTATCTATGTTTCGAGATTTAGTTTTATTTACAATAAGATATAAAAATGTAACTATTTATGAATTCATTGGTATTTCTAAACATAGAAAATGTTTATTATAAGTATTTGGGTAATTTAACGTTAATATAAAGAAGTTGCGGAAGTCGATTTCTAATGACTTGTATTTTCACTCTAATGATCATTTCCCAATATCGTATCATACACAATGACTGACTGTCAACATGGGTTAATAGTATTATTTTAAGTATTGTGTTTTTGTTTGCACACGCATTCCTGCTTATAGTGAGGTGAACTGAAACCTCCTACTTGAATATCAAATATAGCTTAGCTTTGTTATTCGTGACATAGTGTGGGCTTGCATACTAAGCAATCTGTTTTGCAATACATTCCATGCAATTATATTTTTAAGTATTTCTAAATTGTCTTATGCATTATAGTAATTATATAACTTATTAGATATACCTACGTTAATAAATTTGTCATATTGTTTTTCGCCAGAATATACATAGGTATAAGTGTATAAGACTAAGTCACGCTTTATTTTTTTAAAAGTAGCTGACAAGGGTGTTTAGGGTCAACTTTAAACCTAATTTTTGAAGAAACAAGTTAATGCTTTTTGAGTATTTTATTTAGAATAATACAAATATTTGTATTCATAAGTATATTTGCTTATATAATTATTGGTCTAAATGCTTTCTATGTGTAAATGTACGTATTTACGAAGGAATTATTTAAGTATGTTCATCGATTGTTTTTAGTAGCCATAATAGGCACAAGTTCTGCTTAGTTTAGGTCTAGATGGTGCTATGTGCTATTTATTTATTTAATTTGTAGTCTAAACGGTTTGGTGGATGTTTCTAAATACTATATGCTATTATAAAATAAATATGGTGCTTTTTTTTATACAACTTAGAATGGCAAACAAGCTGACCACCTGATGGAAAGTGGTAACCGTCTCCTATAGACATGAGCAGTACTATGGACATAACAGAGTATACTGTTTCACCCATGATACTCCCCATGCGTAGCCATTCCTGAGGACTCAGGTGTTATTCCTCCGTACCCAGTAAATTCACTGCCATATTCCAACCTTCAAACCGAAACACAGCCATGCAAATACAACTGCTGCTATAAAATGTCTAGAAATTAATTTATAATGTGGGGGTTTTTTTGTGATATTGTCACGTACATTTTTTATATGATTCATATACCTATTATGTTCATTGTTCATGACATATGTTGGGATTGTGACATTATAAATCGTGGGAAATTATCAGTCATCACGCTTTTGACTAAGGACTAGAAAATTGTTCATGTAGAAATATATTGTATGGAGTATATATTATATAGGTTAAGTTCATCTAAATTTTCTAAATTTCCTGTATGGTTTAATAAGACTTTAATAAAACTCATAAATCAAAAAGAAAAACTTCGAATCAGGTATCATAAATTTCATAATCCTCGAGATAAAATTGAATTAGATCTACTCAGAGAACGCTGCCATAAGTTTATAAATATTTGTCAAAAACAATATCATAATAAAATAGAAGCTAACATTTGCAAGAATTCAAAATTATTCTGGCGATACATTAAAGATAAACGTAAAGGTCAGTCGACCTTCCCCACAAAAATGAAAATGAACAACATTACAGCAACTACAGGTCCTGATATTGCGAATTTATTTGCAAGTCAATTTTCATCAGTTTATAGTTCAAATGAACCCACTAATTCTAAATATGTTCCTATTACAAATAATCATATATTTAAAATAAAAGTTAACGAATCTGAGGTCTCTATGGCAATAAAACGTCTAAATATAGATAAAGGTTCGGGCCCCGACAATATCCCACCACTTTTTATTAAACGCTGTAGAACTGCTATCACACTCCCACTAACAATAATTTTCAATCGGTCTTTACAAGATGGTGTATTCCCTACTGAATGGAAAAAAACAAGGATTTTGCCAATATTTAAAAATCATGATCAAAAGGATGTTAAAAATTATAGGCCTATATCTATATTATCATGTTTATCCAAATTATTCGAGTCACTTCTATATCCACACATATTCACCCATATTAAAAATTATTTGACAGAATTCCAACACGGTTTTTATAAAGGTAGGTCCGTAGAAACTAATTTGGTTTTAGCAGTGTCTGATATAGCTCGCGAAATAGATAATGGTGAACAAGTTGACACAATCTACACAGACTTTAGCAATGCTTTCGATAAAGTAAATCATGTTGTGTTGCTAAACAAATTGGCTGTTTTTGGAATAGAAGGTTCTCTACTCAGTTGGTTTAAGTCATACCTATTTCAAAGGCCTCAGGAAGTAGTTATTAATGGATTTCAGTCTAAACAGTACTATGCAGAATCAGGCGTACCGCAAGGATCGCACCTGGGTCCCGTTCTCTTTTTGATATTTATTAATGATATTACATCGTATATAAAATACAGTAAAATATCTCTTTTCGCCGATGATTTAAAAATCTATCGCACAATAAAATCCATACATGATGCAGAACTTCTGCAAAAAGACTTAGATGGTGTTGGGGAATGGTGTACTTTGAATGGTATGTTACTTAACACAAATAAATGTTCGTACATTCGTTTTACTCGTAAAATTAAACCTCTAGAATCACGTTATTCTTTAAACGGTGAAAAACTGGTAGTTGTTAGTGAAGTTCGAGATCTAGGAGTATTGCTTGATAGCAAACTTAAATTTAATGTACACATAAATAATATTGTCACACGGGCAGCACAAATGCTTGGTTTCCTTAAACGTTCTTTAAAAGGCTTTAAATTGAGGCAAACTAGATTAATTCTTTATAACAGTTTAGTACGTAGTCGTTTGGAGTTTGCCTCTGTTTCCTGGAATCCAGTCTACAGCTCTTCATCTCAAAGAATAGAAAATATCCAACGAGCATTCACTAGACACCTAGCTTACATAACCCGTAACATATCGCATAGGCGACCTTATAGTCAGAGAATGTCCTTCTTTAACATTACCTCTCTTAAGACGCGTCGTATGATTGCAGATTTAATGTTTATTCATAAAATTCTCAATAATAAAATTCATTGTGCAGATTTACTGAGTTCACTCCAATTAACGGTACCTCTAAATTATCCTCGACACCCTATAACTAGAACATTTAGCTTACCGCGCTGCAGAACAAACCTAGGACTGCATCAACCTCTGGCCAGGATTAGTGCGTCATACAATGAAATTAATGCCAAATTACCTGAAATTGATATAGTGTACGATAATTCGAATTCCTACAGGAATAAATTGCTGAAGCACTTTGTACAACAATCTTATGAACATTAACTCTAATTGTCATAATATATATTTTTTTTAATATTTTTTTTTTTTTTAATCTAATTTACTCATAATCTTATTTTCTGATTTTGCTCACAACTTAGATTACATGTTTATTTTTGTTATTTACTTAAATTTCTTACACTGTATAATTACGTTAAAGTGAATGCTGTGAATACCTATAATAGGCATGTGCATTAATATTGTATTGTATTTAATGTTGTTATACCTATATGTTATAATGCAATATGCTGTTGGTGTTCCATAAATAAATAAATAAATAAATAAATAAATAAATATTATTTTTAGTATTTTTATAGCCTGGATTTAAATGGCTCTCTGACGATGTCTTTTTTATTATTTCTTTAATCTAAATTTAAAAAGGATTTTCACCGAATCTTATATTTTAAAACTTTCCCAACGAAATAGAATAATTCCTTAAGTTTGTTTTTTTTTTCGTGTTATCAAGGCACATCAAAAGTACGTGTATATATGCTAAAAATGCATATAAATGATATTTGTTATCTTCATGTTATGCAAAAAATTTATACAGCTTAATGCCTCTAATGTTTATCTAATATATGAAGAATATTGGCGGGCTTCACAAAAGACTTAATATTTAGGGTTTGTCCGAATTTGCAATTATACACGCCCTAATTATAAAACACAACATACATTTAATATATAAAATATAAGCTTCTCGTATTTGAGATAGTTTTTTTAAAAACATAATAACTTTGTCGTCTATAACAGATAAGCAAAAATTTTCATTACGTAAAGATGATAAGTTAATAAGTTTTTAAATATAGACAACTTAGAGAAATAGAATATAATGTATAGATAAATTATTGTGGGTGAATAATTGTTTGAAATTATAAAAAAAAAAGCAAAAAAGATTGAAAAAAAGATTGTTAAATATAAAAACGATGTGCGATTTTCGAAAATTTTTGGTGCAACACATAATAGTATTAAAAACAAAATAATATTTTGTTAAAAATGTTTTGACTAATGTTAGTATGGTTAGTTGGTGACTGTACCAGTCATGGTTGGCGACAGCGTTGCAATTTTTGTTTTTGTTTTACAGATCACATTCCCCGCACAGTCCGAAACTTCGGAACATGGGAACGAAACCCGTTACGGCTGAGGAGGGGGAAGTCACGCCTGCCAAAGAACTGGAACGGCTAGTCAAAGAGGTTTGCCAATGCCTTTTTATTCTTTTTATTTGTGCTTGCTCTTTCATCCAATAAATTGCATCTATTGTCGGTACCTACTAACGTGAAGTTTTTCACTGTTGCAGGTTACGTTTGGTTTGAAACACTTTTCGGATGTTATTACGAAGAGGAAACTGGAAATGCTTCCCGACAATGGCACCATTGTTTTCGAATCAATTGCAAATATACACAAAGGTAAATACGCTCATTATGCAACAAATACAACGGTGATTTACCTTTATGTTTCTAGTTGCGTTGAACAATGCCGTTTTTGTATGATCAAACGAAACTCGCACCTATCTTATTGTCATATTAAAGTTTTATCATTAATTATTAAGTTAAATTTGATTTTCAGTATGTGACAATATATTTCTTTGTTTTGTATTAATTAGAATATTATTAAATATCATAATTGGTAATTATATTTTTGTTTTAATTTCAGCAATAAAACCATATAGCAGTCGGTCACCGACTTTAACGAGCGCTGTGAATAGGCTGTGCACAGCATTGGCCATGTTGCTACGGTTGTGCGATGAAATCACAGCGGTGAGCTTTCGAGCGGACGATGCGAAAGAGGAATTGGATACCTCTGCGCCAGCTCTCTCTCCCGACCACGTCAGTTCAGTAGTAAAATCTGTCACCACTGCTGTAGAAGAAGTAGCGGCGCTCGCCCAACAACATATGACCCGGCCCGCACTCTCCCCCCGGCCGGCTCTCGTCTCGCCACGTTCGTCAACACAACGAAACTCATTACCAGGTTATTGTTCTAAAATGTGTTTCTTCTATAATAATATATTAAAATAACATGATTGCATCACGGTCTTTTGGTCTAGTGACTTAGGTACTAACATATCTATCTTATAAACATTCTAATGATCGTGAGCTCAAGTTTAAGCAACAAAAACAAATCTTCGTTTCCATTTAAATTCTCGACTAACTCTACGGTGATTGTAAACATCGTTAATAAGCCTAATTAATTTGTGAGACGGCGGTTGGCTTCCGTGTCCCGTTAAATGTAATTTCACGAAAAATGGACATGTCGAGTGTAACGTTTACTACAACAACAGTTGACTAAATCCATTTACTATACGTTATTATAGCCATTAACACTTTTTTTTTTATTTAAATAAAGCTTTCATTTTATATATTTTTATTGGTAATGATTTGCTCTTTAAATCATCATTATAATGTTCTTTATAAATCTCATTTACATAAATTGATATCAATTATTTAATGTTGATTAAATAATCCAATCGAGTCAAGGTTATTGATAAAATATTTCTTTCCAAACTAGGCACTACTTTCTTCTTATCGAATATGCATAATATGGAGATTATCTATTGACGCTTACAAGTTCAAGTGTAATTTACTGTGTTTTCACTTCTTGATTTCCATGAACTCGTAACTATTATACTGTATTGATTTTATAATATTATTTCTATAGTAATTTCTATTTAATTCTATATATATGCTATTGAGTCGACGATGAATTTCTTGAGGATAATATATCGAAATCGCAATATTATATAATCAAGTTTGAGTGTACTTAAAATTAAATAAACCCCTTTGTAAAATCTGGGCATTTATGGTATTTTTAATGGTAAAAGTGTGGTAACGAAGCGTTGAAATAGTAAGGTCAAACTTTATATCTGCTATAATAAAAATTTATTGTATTCTATTCTATTACCATACGGTGGGAGAGCATTTGATGTCAATTTATAACTTTGAACAATCTAGGCAATTAGTGACACCCTTAGTTTTTATAAAAATTTGTCAAGTATGTCAATCATGAATGCCTGTGAAGAATAGAACGGGTGTTACATTAAATTGTATTATATATATGGTGTTATTTCTTATGTATTTTGTGTACGCCGATAGCTGTCTCTTACTATCAGATAGAACATCATCTTTACCCTTTATAATAAAGAAAAGTATAAAATAATAATAACAATTGGCAGATATCCCTCTGACGCCTAAGGAGCGTTCATTGCTAACTGGAGAAGGAGCATCGGAGCCAAGTGGTGTACGCGCTTCTCACTCTTCCGAGTCCGTACTAGACGCACCTGACTCGCCGCCGCCAAAGCCCGCTCGGCCCATCCGGTAAGTAACTTTCGAACGAATATCGGAAAGTGGTTTTACTGGTAGTGTTTACGAGCTTTGTTTACATACATCATGTTTTTCGAGTTTTGAACCGATGTTGAAAAGTGGGAAGTTCTCAATTTTGAATGTTTATATGTTACACGATATTCTTACTAATTTATAAACGGATTTCAATTACAATAAATTTTTATTTACTTTCCCAATGTTAATTTGTCAACATTGCTGTTTATTAAAACATATGTTAGCGTAGCCTAGATTATTTTTTTAATTATTTTTGAAAATTAAAGTTTTTTTTTCTGGTATATAAAAGGTATATAAAAGTGCAAGGATTATAATTATGATGATATGTTTTTTTTCTACGTACATCGATATTGTGCTAATTAATTTTAATAGCTAATTATAAAATATATTTTCTCATTATTTTACTTGCGACTTTCTAAATAGTTACCAGTTGGAAGGTTTGATGTGAAAAGTGAGAGTATAATAATTATATATGTTGCAGGAAAATCGAGTTGGCCCCACCTCTACCGCCCAAGCGTAAATCTGCAAATGACAATTCTCTTCTAGCGTTGTCCATTGATAGGTCAGTATTTTTTTACATTTTGTATTGAATACATTCTGTAAAAATATAATAAATATTACATGACACTTAGCTTCATGTTTGCAGCAAATATGCGACTTTTATCTTTTTTTTATAATATTTAGACTTTAATTTTATTGCGAAATTCTCTTAAGGGAAACTTTTGTATTGAAACATGAATCATAAAACAATTATTTTATTAATTAAAAATAGATTTGTAAAACCTGTGTTAACGCAAAATAATATGCTATTGATTAATGATATAGACCTTGAACTATTGAAATTTTATTTGATAATTAAGTATATTACACATAGTTGATCCTATTTATTAAATTAAAATACAGACTTATATTTAGACCATTTTTTTAATACATTTTAATGTCACCGCTGTGATATTTTTATTTGACATTTGTATACTATTTGCATAATCCAAAATGTACTGTATTAGCATAATTTACATATGTAATATAATAGATATACTTGATTATTATGAATATGAATGACTAAGTTATTATGAGCAATGGAGGTGCCACTTCTCTAGAATATATGTCGCCATTACTTGCGATCTCGTCCGCGTGACTACGATATATTCATCCTCGGGAATAAAAAAGTAGTCTATGCCCTACTCAATTCCATATAGTGACTGGTTAAGCCGTTAAGGCGCCAAGAGGTAACAATCATATAAACTTCTTTTACAATAATATCCGTTACGGTATTTTTCGTTGTTATTAAAGATTTATAATAAATGGAAAATAATTTCTCTCTCCCTGAACTAAACTGAACTCAAAGTGTTAATTTCCACATAAACAATAGATGATAGTTGTAACATAACAATGTTCTTTTTATGTTCTAGGTTGTCCCTCCAATCACATAGCAGCGGGTCTTTAGATTCCATGCTAAATGTGTCCAACGATGAAGAGCGTAATGTGCATGACGCCAATAATCACGACAATGTGTTCACTACGACCAATGATATTGTTGGTGAGTAGAAATTTTGTTATTTTAGAGCTATCATTAACAATTATCGATAGATTTATTCATACATGAAATAATGTATAATCGTATATATGTACTTAAGTTTTATTTACGTAATTTGGTTATTGCGTATAGGAAATTAATTTACTAATAGATTATTTACGTGTGTACTAAATAGGGGGAAACCATTGTAAATAAGGCTATTATGAGGGATAAATTATACCTGCAATTCGTATAATTTTTATGGTCGTTATATAATTGAGTGCATTTGTAGTATAATCATGATAAAAGTAACATAATATTACATATTTAATAATAAGCACTATTAGTAGAATTGTGTATAATTTTATTTTTGTTATAGAGCTCGAAACTCTGTATGGTTATCCATGTTGTCTTTTTAAAATTACAAGGAAAATCTTGTGTAATCATCTTTTATTGACTATTAAGTGCGTTAAACATATTGTTTTCGTGATTGATATAGACTTAATAGATATTTTTATAAATAATCTTAAGTATTATGGCGATAAAATTTATGATATTTTTTTTTAAATTACAAATGTATACATAAATAAATGTATTACAAATATACATAGCTAACTTATTTGTAAATTTTATAATAACACTCATATTATCCTTTAGTCTAAAATGCATGTCCCCTAAAAGAAAGTGGGCTATGATTCTATGATAGTCATCATATAAGGGCCCGTACATGTGAGTGTTGGAACGGTCGCTGTAGCTGAACCGGTTAGGATAGGTTCATTGGTTTATTTAAAAACATTTCACATCTATGTTATTATGATAATTAGGTCAGTACTTGCATACTTCTGTGTTGTATATCTATTTAAAGTGACGTCTGAAAGAAACTTATTCTCTTGTCTGATTTTTCGTGGCTACGTTACGCGATTACTTCAATAATTCTGAATATCTATTTACAATTATGTTTGCGATATTATATTATGACAATTTTTGCTGAGTCATTCTCATATTTGATAGTTATTAGACATACCTGCAATATTATTATACGAGTATAAATTATTTAATGCCCCTATTACTACCAGTAGTAGTACATACGACTTAATATTATATGGTCAAATATTTATGTAAAGTTGTTACACAATTGGTAGCAGTATTCTTTTAGCTCTGTTATAAGAGAAAGTACACCCGCGATTGTAGTAATTATTATATCGTGATTTCACCTAATTAAAGTAGGAAATTATTAACATACATTGAATTAATTCATGATAAAAAGAGCAGATTAGTAAAACCAATTTGCGAGTGAGGAATTTTTATCAGGTTTCTTGATTCAGTCGGCTACATATTTCCGGCAACCATTTCTAGTAATACGATTGCATAGTTAAGTCCGTGCAATGAATATATTTCATTATAGATAATAATGATAATTGGTTGGTTTCAATATTATCTATTGATTTTAATTGTTAGTTAATTAAAATTTAATAAAAATAGTGCAGCAGACCTTTTATCTGATTTATATCTATACTAGTTTTTTTTCCTTCGAGATAGTACGTATATTACGTACGTACGTATATAATATTGGTAGATTTTTTTTAATAGTTGTTATATTTAGTAAACAATGCTGTATGTCTGTAACAAACAAAAAGTAGCAGCAAGTGATAACGCATTATATAATAATTTTACAAAAAGTAATTCTTTTCGACAAATATACGTGCTAAAACAGGTTGCCATGCATTGTCAGTTGACACTTGAGTACCAAGGTTACTTCTTTATATTGGTTTTGGATTGCTAAGTAATGCTATTTTTATATACTCATATGATATTCTACAGGGTTGTGCAGTTGTAATAGTTCGGGCGAGGTGCGTACGTCCCTCGAATCAGCCGAGTCACACCTCAGTACAGCGCACATGCATTCACACACCAACCATAATCGGTATGTTACCCAGTATGTATGTATAGTATTGGTGTTTTTCTTTTTATTAGTTTCTGGAATACAATTAAGTAGACGTAAAGTGTGAAGAAAAATTAAATTATTAATAGAACTTTTGATTTAGTTTAAAAAAGCTACGTATAATGTTTATTTGATTTGAAAATTAGATAGGAATTTTTCTTTGAATAACTTTTTATATTTTGACTTTGCCTATGTGATTTAGAATAGAAACTATGTGGATAAGATCAGTATATATAAATTTTATTCAAATTCATCCAATTTTCACATATACTATTTAGTTTAGAATTATGATTGTCGGAAAAATATCACTTCTAAAGTCGCGATTTATAGCCTTGATAAATTGTTTTTCTAATTACCTTTGTAGTGTGGTTTTTAGATTTTATTTTTTCCGACATTAAGTCTAGACTATTAATAGGAGTAATTAAATTAATTTCCGTTCTTTAAATTATTTTAAAGCTTTTCAAACGAGTCCGGGTTTGTCTCCGTGGGTCACGCGGAGATCGCTACAGAACAAAATTTCACGTCATCGTTCTCTACTCATCACTACTCAACTCATTCTGATAGGTATACTCACTTTTCCCTTTCTTGATAATGTTTGGTTTATTTCTAATTGTTTGTTTATGTGTATATAATTTTTGTTGTTTGTTTTTAATAATTTTCTATACAAGTGTTAATTTAAATAGTGGCCATAGTGACCAAACTTTAAATGAAATTAAAAGAAAGGAATTTTGCTATTATTGATATTTTAATGTAAACAACGTTATCATAAATTATGGCTACTATTCATGTTAACACCGATTTTAATTATATTCTTACGTGTTTATTTTTTTTTTTCATTTTTCTGACAAAGATTATCAATATGAATGTTTAATTACACGAAATAATATTTCGTTTATTATAATCTTTAGAATTATTTTAATTATTAACTATCGCGTTGGTATCATAACTGTAAAGATATGGCCGTGAAATTAGCCTGTATTTTTTTATGATTTGAAAAAAAAAACCTTATAGTGCTTTCCATATTTTGATAGGCAAATGTTCATCTATTAGTCAATAATAAATTTTGTTAAAAAAAAGTAATACATAGTGAAGCCTTATTCTAATAGCATTGTCAATCCGATATATTCGTATTGAAAATCTTTGTGTGTTCAAGCTTCCTGTTATTGTTTTTGCAGTCATTTTGACAGTACAGACTGTATGAGCGAAGTGAAGTGCACACGACAAAGCTTTGAGAGCCGCATGAATATTATGAATATGAACAGTGTTACCACGCACTATTCTTCTAAGTGAGTGTCTTTTCTGTCTTTGAATGATGCTTTACCACACCCTGCATACAACGTATTATCTTTATAACTCCACACAACTATTTTTTCTATCTATGCACCATCTTATAATCAATCTTGCGTCATATAAACTGAATTCAGTTTTTGGTTTGCATTATTTACGTTATTAATGTTGTCTTTCGTTTATTTATGGATGAAATATTGATATTATTTCTTATTATGACAGTGTTTATTTTTCCATGCGACAGTTTATGTTTGATCAGATAGATAAAAGTACGTCACTACTATCAATCTCAAGTATGTTATTACAGGCCACTAGGCGTTTAAAGCACAATACACCAACGAAAGAACATAAAAACTCACAACCTGGCCAACGTGGTAATAATGGATAATATCCTTCTTTAATCCTGTATCGTATTTATCGTATTGTGCATTGTCATTAATAATAATAATCGATCACTATAATGAATGTTCTAGGTGCCTATAACTATAATTTATTTGATCAGAAATAAAAGTTATATATCAAGTTATAACGTTATTATGCGTTAAACTAATTCAACCATGAATAGGATGACCATTGTTATTTAATCTTATTAATGAAAATAGCAGCAACAAATCAAGAATTAAAATTATAAATTGCAACCTGAATTATCTTATATTGTAGTAGGGACTAATAAATGAAATGGTGCAGATCTACTCGTATTTTAATATAATAAGCCCTAAATGCCTACTGCCCATTAAGGTTGGTTGGCCTTTTATCTGAATTATTTCGTGTCAGTGACTATACTCATATTTTAGTTGTTTGTGAAACGGTTAATAAATCAATTGTTGAAATATTTCATCTTTGGAGGCTTTTGAGGAAAAAAAATAATACGTCATATTAATCTCTTCGTACGCAATTTATTTCGAGTTATGTATTCGAGTTTTGAAACTTATTAATTTTTGATTTAATTAAACTTATATGTCTGTTATATATATATGTCTATATAATTTAAATGTTAACATTATTACTTATTGTGATGGACGATAACAGAAGAATTGAGAATACACAAATTTGTTTTTAATACATTATAATTTTTTGAAAAATTAATTTTAAAATTAGAATATATTAGTTTTCTATGAAAACTTTCACATAACCCAAGGACGTAGATCTGACGTTTCGTAACACCGTGTTCAACAGATTGGCAAGCATAACGTCAGACGAGAACGAGACGCCGCCTGAGCTGCCGGCCAAGAAGACGCGGCGCATTAATCGCGCCGACGTTCAGCAACACTTCCCTAATGTCGAAATCAGGTGATGATTTTAACCTTGTTATTTTATACCGAAATGTCTATAACAACTTGTTTAATTTTGTTTTACTATATACTAATGTGTTAAGTTAGATTGTTTTTCAAAATCTATAAATAAATTGTATACTTTTATTGTATATTTATTATAGTTAAGAACGTTTTGATGGCTCTGTTAAAAGATTGGTTTTATTGAGTTGTACTTTTTTAAAGTTACTATTTGCATGTTTGGATAGTATATATGTTATTTTGGACATGTGAAGGGAAAATCGGATAAAAAGATGATGAAATATCTACAGTATTTTTATTTATTCTCAGTATTATATTTATTACAGACCATTTGTTATCTGAGGGAGGAAAAAGAATAAAGTTCAGGAACTGGTATATCATAATATTGCTTACCTTGTAAGGAAGAAATAAAAATATTTCTTTTATACTACATTAGTAGCAAACAAGCTTATGACCCGTTTAATGGTAAATGGTCACTATAGGCTTATATCCGTAAACATTCGTAACAACAGATGTTACATGCTGTCTTCATTTGCTCCTTTTGAACGATTATATAGATATTGTAGTCCCTAAGGAAAAGGTTTAGCTTTGTTTAAGTTATCGTTCACATTTACTAAAAAATTAAAGTTAATGCTACTGCGAAAAATAATTTATAAAACCCATCAAACATTTGTTACTTTCAGACAAAGTCCAGTTTGTACAGTGCACGGCGAAGCGCGGCCTCACACTCTCGCAGATCACAACCCGCCGCGGCCGCCACCGCTGCCTCTCAAGAAAAAGCACAGTGAGTAATTTACTGTATACTTTAGTTTTTATAAATACAGCACTACACGATGCACTTAATAAATGGATATTATTAAAAATGGAGCAATACACAGGCATGTGAGATGTGAGCATTAAATCAGTATTCATAATATACGCGTCTTTTGTTTCTAAAATAGAATTTTATGTAAAATATATCTGTCTCAGATACTTGCTTAACCAATATATGCATGAATATGCGTTAGGTCTATTAAATTATGCAATATCTAATCATTTCCAATATATAAATTGTCTTTTGGTGTATAGAAAAATCTGACAATATAATTGTATTAACTGTTTCACTAAACTGAATCACTATGTTTCTTTTTGGCCAGTTCGATGTGAATGATATAACCACAAATACATGTAAACTAAATGTTATATATATATATATATATATATATATATATATATATATATATATATATATATATACATATAATAAATATGATATCTATCTCAAAGATGCTCTATGTATATAGGGGAGGTTGGGTTTACTGAAAGACAGTTGATTGGCTTGTCATATGGGGTTTTAACGGCATGTTTGTCTGTTGTGCCGGTGCGGCCCGGCAGTGTTCCAAAGCGTCGCATACAGCGGTGAGTGGATGCATGCGATGCGCTCTTACAATTCAGAAAATAGGCCCGGATTTGTTGAATGCAGCAGTTGTATTCTGTCATAAGTTTACAGTTGACGGGTCCACTCCACATATAGACAAATTGGAGATTTATTCGATACGCTTTTAGCAAATGTAATATAGCTTTTATTTCAGACATTTAGATTAGAGATAATAATCATTGTATGATTTAGATCTACATCTGTTTTATCTGTTTCATACTTGATGATTGATGACTGTCTCTTTCTTGAGGTACATAGTATGTGAGACAAAATATGTTATTAAAGTACTATGATCGCCTTGCTTCTTTACGTAAAGATCATTCGTGTGTTGTAAATAATAGGCTTACGCCGCTTGGATGTCTGTTAACAATAACAACGGAATTTTGTTCGCGCCGTAGTTATTATCACCTATGATGAATGTAATTAGCGCTTTATTACAATCATATTTTGCTCATGCTGTTTCATGTTAATTTGACGGTAATAGTATCGATCAACGCACTCTTGTCTAAGCTCATAGTGATTGACTAACTGAATATAGCGCTAGCTCGTTTATTCTACAGCAAAATTAAAACTTACCAATACTGATTAGTAAGTTGAAAACATTTGTTTTCATATTATGGGTTTGCCGTAGAATAAGAGCGACAATTGAACTGAACGTGACATAGAATTTGTGATTGTACAGTAATGGCGTATATGGAGATGTTCGGAAACTGTAGTCATCCACCGAACAATGCGGCAGCACCTCCTGATCTGGTCCGGCACTCTATTCACACATATACATTAGGCTGGTAAGAACAATTTCTACTCTTTTCACCTTATGTTATTTTATATATCGTAAAGTTTGCAAATATTACTATACATTTATAAGTCTATTTATATACTCGGTCGAATTATTTCCTTAAGCCACCGTAATGTTTTTTTATGAATGTTAAAAATATTGGATGTAAGAAATTTATATACATAATTCACATAACATTTAAGAAAATTAAAAAATGTACAATGTATTTTTATTATAAGTGTATATTTTAACAATATTGGAGATAGATGTCATCAATGTATGTAGTGTATTTAATATTATATGAATGTTATTTTGTAGTGGCCAACACATGAGTGCGGGCGCTATTACGGTGCAGCGTCATCAACAGGTTCAGCGTTCGATCGCGCAGTCATTCACAGTTCAGCACTTTGGCACCCCACCTCTCAGGTACTAATGTGACAAGAGATATTCCATGTATCATATTAAAGCGTCCTTATAAGAGGCCTGCTAGAGGTTCACGAGCGTACACATGGTTGTGTATGTGAGATATGCACATATCTTTAGACTCTGTGTGGGTATATCAACAATGGGTTATTGTTTCATGTTTCGTTTGAACATATTTGAAGTTGAATTTGTAACTTTTGTAATTCTTCATTAAAGAGTTCAGAGATGTGCGCTCACTTAATTGTATTTGTATATTGCAGTATAAACTCTGAAATCCTCTATTTTACTATTATTTGTACCAAAAAAATTATCATTAATACTAGTATATTTTTATTATGCTGTGCAATAGGTTATTACATCTAAATTACAAGGCAAATAACAATTTGGTATTATCTTTTAATATAACTTTTCTTTTGCAGCGGATCAGATGAGAATATGATAGCATGGTCGGGAGCTAGCTCCATTCCACTAGAACCACCTGCTTTGCCGCCTAAAATTAACAAAAATAAACAGGTAAATTTAAATTCTCTCCATCAGTAGATAATATAAAAGTAGACTAATAGTAGATTTTAGTTTTGATCAGTCATCAAAAGCAGTTAAAAGTTTTGGTTATTTGAGTATAAATGTGTGTACGAAACGAAATAATTAAATTTTTTGTATTTTGGATATTACTCTTATTTTTTTTTATAATATTACAAAATGATTTTGATTTCTTTTTCAGTTACAAGTAAGCTCAAGCAATGAACTTTTACCTCCATCGTCGCCGCGACCGTCTTCACATAACAGTTCGGCTGATGAATCGATCTTAAATAATTTGGTATGTTTTTAATTTTTCTATTTAAAGCATGAATTTATCTGAACAAGAAAAATTAAATGCTAATTTTATTTTTCAACTTTATTATTATTGAAATATCGTCTTTTTTGTTCATGAGACAAATATTCTAATAATAATCTCATCAATTAATTATGTTTATCCAGAAATGTTTGTTTCAGAATTCGGATGAATCCTATGTGAGTACATCTACTCCAGCAAAATTCCCAGTGGAACATGAACCAGAGCTTTTACAACCGCCAGCTCCATCTCCTGTACCCTCACAGGTAATAAATTAATTCATTTAAAAAATGTATATTCAGAACTTTTAATTCAGTGTTGCAGCAAATTAATCTCTATGGTTTTATCTTTTTTATTTGTAACGTTAATTATGGGAATATGATATTTAGCTCTCACTGAAAAATTTCATGCTTTCAGACCTGAGGGCCTAACATGAAATAAAATTTCGGATTCAATTTCGTGTTTTTGTTCATAGCAAATTAACCCAGTAAATGAAGCTTAATATTTCGTTCGTTATAAATCCTACGATAAAAGTATAAAATACCGATATTTTAGCATTCTTAATATTTTTAAACGGTGTGTATCATGTAATTTTAGTATTAAATTTGTGTTTCGTTCTGACCCGAAATTTCGGAAAATATTTCAAGTAGACCCTCTGATTAGTTAGTCAAAATTTAATCTGTTGCTTGGTTGACAGTATTATTATATTTTAGACATATGTAAAATGCCTAGGGTATTTTGGGGTATCTAGTTAGAATACAGAGGCAAATGTATAACATTACTATTGAAATTGTTTAGTAATGTATTTATTTATAATTACTTACTAATATAATATTTTGTATTGTTCCAGAAAAGTGAAAGCAGTATAGATCCCCCAGCGGCGACAACAGAACAAAGTAGCAGTCCAGCACCTACAGATCCGGAAGATATTATATTACAAACTGATATTAGTTCTTGGTTGCTTCTCAAGACGCCTGCTAAAGACGGTCCGGAGGTCCGAGGCGGGCATCCCGACGCACTCATAGTGCTTGCCACTAAAGCTACCAAAGGTAACATCCATTGTATTGCATCATATCCATTACTCAAGGGAAATAAAGGTCTAATATTCATTTGCATGGGAAATATGATTGTTTACTATGAAATTTTTCTGACTTGGTAGCCATGAACTATTTAATTGTAATACAAATATTCATAACTCAAGGTGATATAGGCATGAATTGCATTGGTTCATCAAAGTCAGTTATTGATACTTATGTCCACCAAATGACTGCAGTTTTCTGGATAGAAATTATTTTCTTATTTCTTATTTACCTTATTGTAATGGTAAAATATTAAAATATCCAGAAATTTGTGTCATTTATAATCTCATATTGTGACGTCTTATGTATCAACCAACATGTTCAGCCAGAAACATATCTTTTCCATTGCTTTTAACCTTTGAACTTAATGCTTTCACTTTACAGAAACGGACGAGTGTAAGTGTTCAATCATTGTATGAATTGGGGCTGAAACAGACTGGTTTTTATACTAATCTATTGATGCTTGTACTAATGTTGCTTCATTGTTTCACTTATGTTTAACATCGTTGTACTCACTAATTTGATTGTTGGAAGAGGCTTGCATCTAATCACAGCACATGAAGCTTCTATTTTAATTAACAAATGTATTTTTGTTCCATTTTTAATTAGAACTTTAATTTTGTTTTATTATGTTGTTAACAGCTGATTTATATATTTTGCTATGTTTTATATCGTATCGCTTGGTAAATATCGTAACACATTTTTTGAAGAGTATACTTATAAAAATATGTGATTTTTGCATTCCTATTGAAAAACTGCCAGTCTTCAAAGTGTGTTACAAGCTTTTTCATTTTATTATAATCGATTTACTTTTCGACAATTCCTGCGATTATTCGTCATTTATTTCTGACGTGTAAATTATAATATAAATATAAGAGTAAACAGTAAACTAAATAGGATTATGGAATATTAACATTATCTGGGGATTTTTTTTCGTAAACGACACTATCCACGTAAATCAGGATAAAAGTATCTATATATTAAATTGAGAAATAATTTGGTTGTGTACTAAATTTCATTTAAATCTGTTCAGCTGTTTGAGCGTGATTAACAAATATCTTAATCAATTATCACTGCTTTTAACTATTGATTAAATAATTGATATGTATTATAAGATGAACGTATGTATGTATGTTTAGAAGTTTTTTACTCTATCATGTTCAAATGTCTAATGGTTTATCGAAATTCAATTAAAATTTAATCATTTATTGCTATTTAATGTTGTAACAATATAGACCTTAAACTATTAAAGGTACATAATCAACATGAACCCTGGAAGGGCACAGTAATCATATTAATAAATATTATATAAAATCTTATACACAAGACTATATCTTGCTTTAACATAATAATATATATTTTTAACGTAATTCATGGGGGTAAAACTACGGCGTACAACTAGTATGATAATGTTAAGACGATAGACGTTGTAGTCGCAGGTACTGTCGACGGGTAGTTCCCGTGCACGGTGTAACAGTAGCTTGTGTGCGCAGACTTCGCGTACCAGGAGGCGTTCCTGGCGACGTACCGTACGTGGGTGTCGCCGAGCGGACTGGTGGCGAGGCTGGTGCGGCGGGCGCGGCACACGCGGCCGCGGCCGCACGACCTACGCTCCACGCTCGGCCTGCTCACCAGGGTCGTCGCGGATCTCACGTACGTACCACTAGTCTATTTCTCTAGAGTACTCTAATGACTTGCGCAGGCAAGAAACACTTTGTCCATCATAAAAGTTTCCTTTGCATAAACTGTGTATATATTTTTTACGTAATTTAGAATAGCAAACAAGCTAACGGTCCATCAGATAGAAAATGGTAACCGATGCCTATATACATGAACAACACTATGGATATAACAGAATACTGTACCATGTGTAATGACACCCATTTCCTACAACGTTCTGGGCATGAAAAGGAATGATGACATCATATTAAACAGCTGTGTTAACATTGCAGAGGGTGGGATATGGTAGTGAAATTAAAGTACGGAGACATATTATCATAATCCTTAGCAAGGGCAACGCATCAGCATCCCAGTGTATAAATGAGGTCTCTCAATGCTAGATATTCTTAAGGACTATGGTATTTTCTGTTATTTAATAAAAATGGAATGATAACTGTACTGTCGGTATACGCGTGATAGATGAGCATGAAAATAAGTCAGTTGGTCCTCCTATGCATATTATTTCATAATGTATGTATGTAGTATGCAATTTAAATTTAAATTGCTTTTATTATAACATAACTAAAATTTAAGCCCTCAAATATACCCTTTGTGCTTTAAAATTTGGACAGGCGTAACACATATGTATGTATTGATAAGTATAACAATATTAAATAACATTACAGGATGACTGATCTAGATCGTCCACTAATGCAAGAGATAATGGAGTTCATTTATTGGCTAGTCGATGTTGAGGAGTTGCCTATTGCAAAAGCCTTACGACAGATACTAGTCGACAAACAAAAACAGTTGCATTTCCAACAGGTGAGTGTTATCGTTACCCTGTTGTATGTTAATGGCATTTCTACGACATTTTAAAAATAAGAATTAAATTGTTACAAATTTTGCGCGGATCGGTAAATTATCCAACTAAGATTGAAAATGTAAAAGTTTGTAAAGATGTTTGCATTTATATTAATCAAATAACCGAACAGATTTAAATGAAATTCAGTACACGGGCAGAGTGTATTATAATAACATATATTTTATTTACTGATTCATATGGAGAAATCCGCGAGAAACAGTTGGTATTCAGTAATAAAGAGTCGAATTTAAAATAACCTTTTTTTTAAATAATTACTAAAAACTTTTTTAAAAAATTGACTAAATGTCTGCCTAGTGATTGTATTTATAAGATACAGGTTTATAATAAATAATACTGAGGTTCAATTGTTTCTTTTTTCAGACCAACAATAGATATGAATACGACACACCATGCTACGGCAGCGTATCCCTCCGGCGAGACACTCTGCTGGACTTCAAAGCGACTGAACTCGCAGAGCAAATGACGTTACTGGATGCTGCTCTCTTCGTTCGTATCACTACCGCTGAAGTGCTCTCGTGGCCTCGGGACCAGTCGGAGGAGAGCTCGCCTAACCTTACCAGGTTCACGGAGCATTTCAACAAAATGAGTTATTGGGCCCGTTCCAGAATATTGGAACAGGTAAGTTTTGGTTATTTTTATTATTTTATTTTTATTTATTAAATATAAATGAGTTTACTATAGTGCTCTTTAAGATTACCAAAATTATTAAATGTAAGGATAAATATATTTTTCAATTACAAGATATTTATCTATTATTCTTATAACAAATTTTCTTTAAAGTCGCTGCCCACGTCAGTATCGTTGTTTATTTCTTTTAAACCATGCAAAGGATTTTGATTTGGGTTTCTCTGTCATTTAAATATTTTTGTATGTAAATAAATATACTTATTATACTTTTTTATAAGTAGATAATTGTAACTGTGTGTTATTTAATCTTTTTCTTTCAATTTGTTTATATATAATAATTTATTGCAGGACGAGGCCCGTGAACGGGAGAAGTATGCGAGCAAATTCCTGAAAGTAATGAAGGCGCTCCGCAAAATGAACAACTTCAACTCGTATCTAGCTCTGGTGTCGGCGTTGGATTCTCCGCCGGTACGGCGGTTGGGCTGGCCTCGGGCGATAGTAGATACGTTGCACGACCACTGCGCGATTATCGACTCCTCCTCGTCCTTCCGCGCTTACCGGCAGGCTCTTGCTGAGACACAGCCGCCGTGCATACCTTATATGTAAGTACTTTTATATCAGACATATGTATGATGATTCTTCACTAGATGGAGGGTAGCAATTCAAGCAGGTGTTTCATTGTAAACTGTCACAGTAGCTTATGAACGCATGTTTTTGTGTATGACCACAGTTAGCGCGATCGGTAATTTAACCGTTAATTTTACGTGGTAAAAAAAATGTCTGTACAATCTCCGAATATACCCAATATCTTGTTCTTTTGGTATTGGATTATAATAATTATACATTTTTTTTTGTTGCAGTGGTCTAGTCCTTCAAGATCTGACATTTGTTCACATTGGGAACCCCGATCTGCTTCCAGACGGTAGCATTAATTTCACCAAAAGATGGCAGCAGTATCACATAATGGAAAATATGAAGAGGTTCCACAAAGAGTGTGTATTGATTTAGTATATTTTCTATTTTGATAATAGAATCTGATCTTGATTCAGATTTATTGTTTTTTCTGATAAGATCAATTTTTGAAGTTATTGATATTCATTTATTAAAAATAATTTAAATATCTTGAATTTAAAATGATTAATTATCTAGTTACGTTATTTACAGTTTTTTTATTTTATTTACAATTGTAGAGTGTGTTAAAAATAATATTTTGGTTTATATAAATAAAAACCACAAATTAACTGGAAACAATGGCATTACTGTTTCTATTAAAGCAGTATTTTATTATATTACTACTAGTCTCAATTATTTGAATATAACTTATTAAATCTGAAGTTTACATTATACTTAATCGATAAACTGATACAATATATACTGTTTCAATAAAGATAATGTTTCTTCGACAGCAGACAGTACAAGTTTAAGAAGAATGAACGCATACAAGCTATGTTTAATGAGTTTGACGATGTGCTAAGCGAAGAAGCGATGTGGCAAATCTCGGAAATTCTAAAGCCACGAGGAGGGCGAACTCGCACTACCGCTCCGCCACCCGCTCCACCACCTGCTGCCGCGACCGCTGCCGCACCCGCGCCTGCCCCTGCGCCCGCTCAGACTGCCGCTTAAAGCTTGCATAGCGTATCTGCAAATTAATGGCAGGTCTGTGATTCAACAAATAATACTAGTGAATTAATATACTTAATTTTTTTTTCTTAAAAAAATATGGTTGTTTAGTAAAGTTATAGTTATGTTAAAATGTTTATTGCATACCAAAGAATAAAATTATATAATAGAAAAGTAATATACAAAATGCTCAGGTACTACGGTAAACAAATTTACGTCCTATATGGTCACTTTCTCGGTTGCCTCTGTCATCAGTTAAGGAGTTTTTATTACTGGATCATTGGAAAAGTTAACAAATTTTTAGTGGAGCCAAACATAAGGCTACGAAGATTCCTTTTGCCGACTGTGAAAGGAACTGTACCATAGTTAAGTGTCTTACTGCTGTAGTAATGGAACATCGCGCCTTTGATATTATATTTCACAGCAAAATTATACTGCATAAGTTACACAAATGTAATGCTAACAATATTTAATTATGGTTTTTCTGTTTACAGGTATATGCATCCAAAGAGAATGAGGTATGTATAGTTAGAAAGAAAACTTGGATCAGGAATTGTATAACTTAAAGGAAATGTGATTTCTGTCCTAAAAAGGCCTAATTAATTTTAGTGTATTTATTCGTAAATGTGCGATTTTTCATCTGTGATCGGTTGGCGAGTACGATGCGAGGCCAAATGTGACGGCGCTGACGGTATCAGTACCGCCTATATTCGCTTACAGTTTCATCGCTTCTTATATAAAACGATTATAATATTTACATACAGAATACGAAAGCCAAATGTCTTTATCAGTATTTGAATCGAGTTACTGTTATCTTTTACATATCAGTATGTGACTTGCATAGTGTACTAAAGAAACGAGTGGCGCCTTGGTGTTTAGGTAATGTCCTTGATAATTCTTCTTGTTGTCGTATTTGCCATTGATGTCAGTATGTATACATAACTAAGTCGGCTTCGAAAGTGAACGCTTTTCATTACATCGAATTAGATGAATTTTGGATTCGTAGTTATGGTAGTCATACTACTGTTTGATTATAGTAACTTAGTCCGTCTTTAGAAATTGTAATGTTCATGTCAGTCCTAATTTCGGTTACATATTTTACTATGGCAAATATTAAGCAAATCAAGGTATCGCGGAACACGTATATGAAATGGGACAGTTTTTGCATTCAATAGTCATTCAATTATGTCAGAGACATTATTATGGATCATTAAATGGGGCTTCCATAGTTTTAAATAAATGAAAAGTTATGCGAGTTACCCATAAATGTGACATAAGCAAAATCCATGTGAAATATTTTTTATAAAACATTGCTTTACACGAATCCTGCGTACAATACAACAGATACATATCATTAAATGAGTGTGCCAAATGTCGAACTTATCTAAAATGTCCCATTTCCATATAACTATTCGGTCTTTGATATTAAACGCATTGATTATGCTTATTGCGTTATTAATAATGTTATTAATAATAAAATTAGGGAAGGGGCATCGTTACGAATTTAAGCCAGGCTATCATATTACACATAAGATGGATCGCAACTCAAAAACTCAAGTTACGTATAGATGTCCCCTTTTAAAATTGTTGTCAATGGGTAATTATCTTGAGACCCATGTATTCTATTTTTAATACTATAAAGGTGCGATACGTTGGCGTTTCTTGTTAGTGACTGCCATTTAAATCGCAGTGTAATTACAGTTAATGCGATATTTTTGTGCATGATCTTAAAGTGTTGAAATTCAATGCATATTATTATTTTTGATATTCAGAAATTATATTTTTCCTATAGGTTGCTACCTTCAAGGAAGCAAACGTTTTATGATTAAACATACTTTTGAGATCTATACATACTTGTTTATATTAATCGTCACGGTTCGTGTCATTTTACTCTAAGCTTTAAGAACAGTGGGCTCTGAAGCCGTAGCTAGGTATTGTATAAAAGCTGAATCATGTTGAAGTTCACTTGATTCCGTAGTCTCAAATTTCATGTCAAAATGTTTAAAAGTATATATTATAGGAGAAGTTTAAACAAATAGTATAATCAGCATTTAATTTGCCTTAAGACGATCAAGTCTTTAATGAAATAGCAATAAATTTTTAATTGTTGGTAGAATCGCTGCACAATTTGTGATACTGTTCATGTAGCGTGGCGCTTAAGTCCTGGCCACGTGGGCTATTATGTACACGTGCGTTTACAAACTATAAACGGCAGATATTCTCCGTCTATTATTATTATTACATCAGTAATTAGCGTACATGTGGCTAGGACTTTCCTACTCAGTCTTATTGACGTCCTCTATGCGTACGCGTAGGCAAATTATATTAGGCGAATGTTAGCAGTAAGCGTAATTAAACCCCATTATTATAACTATCTGTTAAGACCCGTATTACACGTAGGGTAAATGTATATGCCACGTAATGTAACTTCATCGTACCAAAATTAATTATATGCCGTCTTTAAATGCTAAGAATATGATCAAGTGATTCGTTATTATAGTTATACCGACAGTGTAATACCGGTCTGTAATCATATTAATACCATATTCTGCATCGATCTGGTAGTTTGTGTGTCGTCGAAAAGGAACAGTAAAGTTCCATGCAATAAATAAATTAGACCAATATTTAGAATGTTTTACTACAGTGCTTTATTGAAATTATGTGCTGATATTTGTGTATAAATAATTTGATTGCTAGTTAAGTTGGTAGGGTTACCATTTTTGTTGTCAGGTATTAAATATTATTTATTTAGAGTACCTATTGTAAACTTGTATAATGGTTTGATATAATAATTATTAATTGATATTAAAGACTGCCTAAATTAATTATTCAGTATAATTGACGTGTAAATTAGCGAAATAAAATTGTTTAAATGTCCCATTATTTCTCACTCCATAGTTTGTTAGATACAACATAGTAAAATCTCCCGTTGCAGATTTTATATTAATTAATAATATCACAGTGTCGATATTTATTATATTAATTAGAATTTATTCACATTAGTGAACAACGTATATATATTTCTTTGTTGTATTAGCGAGTTCAGTATTATGTTAATGAATGCCATACTGTATGAAATGAAAAATAATATTTTATTGGTTATTCAGGGAAACAAACTATTTTACATTTTATATTACAATGTTAATTCTTATATTATGTAAAGTTTTTATGTTAAATATTATTTTATTACATATTAATGTAAATTACTTTTACTAAGTTATATCTAAATATACATTATATCAAAATTGCATGCTTGTACAGTCTTATGTGTGTCAAGTTTTCTTTTATAATTATTTTGTAAAATAAATATAGCACGTTATTTACAACATTAATTGTTTTTCATTCTGTAACTAAGGTAATTTACCTTTTTTTTATATCTCAGAATGGCATACAAGCTGACGGCCCACCTGATGGAAAGTGGTAACCGTCGCCTATAGACATGAACAGTACCATGAACATAACAGAAGTATACTGTTTTGCCCATGATATCTGCCATGCGTTTATTCCTGAGGACTTAGGTGTTATTCCTCTGTACCCTGTAAATTCACGCCATATCCCACCCTTCAAACCGAAACACAGCCATGCAAACAACTGCTTTACGGTTGAAACACGAATGGGACAGATGTACTCAAGCAATCGACTTTTGTACAAAGTCTTCCTCTGGTTTTCTTAAAAATTAATAATGTGTCAATAAGTGTTAATTATACAGGTCACGATATATTTTATTACCTTTTCAAGGATTAATGAGTTTCCGAGATGAATTTCTAAAACTTTATTATCTGATTTTTGTGTAATATAACATACAGTAATTTATATTCAATACCTTTTGCTATTTGGTTTTTTATTTTGTGTTATTTATCCTATTAAAATATGAGGGGAAAATGAACTACTTATAATTCTATGCGCATCCAAGCCCACATATGGTCTGACATATCAAGAATAAATAATTACCAACTACATCCTTTTCGCATATTTATTTACGTACTAAATTAACATTGGCATCTATAAATACAAATGCAAATTAAAAAGTATGTTACACGTAAAGCATTTTAGTTAAAGAATTGCGATGACAAACTTTGAAGGTTGTCTCCCATATAAATATATGAGTGCCTATACATTTGTTATCACCAACGGAAACTAATCGCGCTGTAGGTGAGTGAGGTATCCTGATGGGAACTCTGCATGGTCCTTAAAGATAATTCAAATTGCGACATAAAAGGCCACTTAATTTCAAAAGTCTGCATGTTATCAGATTACTATCTAATTAGAGCACTACATATGGAATAAAGTACCTATTATACTTTAAATAGGCGACTGCATTGGATTCGCAGTCCAGTATACACATGGTTGGTTTTCAGACAACTTTATTAGATAATATTGAAATGTTGATCACATATTTTGGTATTTTGGTTTTTGTTTTTACAATAAATGGCAGTCCTATTTACAACGATATAAATCTTGACAAGTTTTACGATGGTATCGGTAAGTAATGAATTTTGTACTATAAAAATATATATTAATATATAATATTTATTAAAATCAGAATAATATTGCGTAGAATATATGTAATGAATTATCGAGATTTACTGAATATCCTAGTAAAATAGAAATTAATTGAGATACAAGTATTATGGATATTTTGGATCAGTTAAACATTTCGCAATCATCAAAATTTCAGCGTTGACATTGCATGCAAAGCAAAGTATAAAAATGTTGTTGAAGTTATGATCCATTTCGATTGTGGCAAAATTTTACCACGAAAAGAGCATTTTTTGAAAAATATAATCATTAAAATCGGTTCAAAAATTATGACAGTGTCGCGTAATATAAAAAAATTATTGTACTTACAAATTAAAATTGTCCTCATTTTTGCCGTCGGTCAGTTATGAATTCGTAAGAAAAGAATGCATAAAGAATGAAAAAGAAACATCCACATAACTATAATTTGCATTGTATTATGCGCATTACTGTCGCTCATTGATGAATTAAAAGTATATTTTAGGTATTCAGTACAGATATTATATATTATTGTTATAAGTTGTCTAAAAATACAAAACCGATAAGTGTATCTTTAAACATGTATATCTAATTATAACTAATTACCTATATTTTGGAGTGCCAGGTTCCTTATATAAGTTTATTATATAAAGTGGTTTTAAATTTAGAGGACGAATTTGGCGAATACTTTGAGGGCGATATGGTACTGACGCCGATTCAGGAAAGGGACATCTTCGAGGCTACAGAGGGCCGTAATGGTTTACGCAATGGTGCTAAACGCTGGCCCAATCGCACAGTCGTTTATCATATTGAAGAGGATAATTTCGGTTTGTATTTTTTTTGTAGTAATTAGAATTTGGTAAATGATATTAGTTAAATAAATAAATACCACTCGACACAATTGTCCAACCCTATTTATGTAGGTCGACGTTAAGATTTTATATTAAGAATATGGTTATACAATGTTTATTATACTTATTACAAAATCAAACAACGAATAGACATTTTAAATGCACACAAAAAATCAGACCAATATAAACAGTCATGATACAACTGTTTGTATTTTGCTATGACTGAACCCGCAACTATCGGATGTTTCCAACCGTTATAACACCAAGTGCATCCTATTTCTTAATTGGTTTAAGAAAAATGTTTGGGTTTGAAGGGATGGAAATTTATTTCCAAATAGCGTGTATGATAATAGGTATGTTATAATTTTTTTATTATAAGCATTTAATATTATTTTGATTGGACCTTAAATAGGTGAAGACGAACTGAAGATTATTGAAGAAGGTATGGCGGAAATCGCAAATAAGTCTTGTATTAAATTTCGACCACGAAAGGATAAAGAACATGCAGTTGTTTTCAAGGTATGATGACAACCGTATATATTATTGTCTTGTTTATTTACATTTATGAACAGAATCTGCATCTGTTGCTGTTTAACTTTTTTAAATATTCATAAATATACCTACAAATACTCTATTCAACCAGGTAAATAATCATTGCAGGTAAAATATTTATTATAGACTGATAGAAAACTTCGTAAGGTGTTTGCACACTTAGGCATTAAAGTTTAAATAAATAAAGTAACCACTTAGTAAATAGACATAATGACGGAAGGAGTTGTTAGTAATAAGGAATAAGGCCCCATTGCCAGCAATATGCTCTGTCATGTCGGTCTCTGCGCCGTTCTCCCTGTAAACCATGGTGGTTTATTTATAATGAATTCGTTACGTTGGATTAACTGACCTGCTGTCAATTTCACCTGTTATTCATCACTGGTGCCCCGTCAGCGTATACCGATGGCGTAGGCGGGGGTTACCATACCATAGATTTAAGAAAATAATATTTCATTATGCAAAAACTGCGATGCAAATAAACTTACATTCTATGTTTAGTACTCGACTTGAAAAAATTAAATACTTGTAGAATATTGAAATAATGTAAAAAAGAAAAATGTTTTTATAAAGAATTTCTAAGAATTAAGACAACTAATAGAAATCATTCAGTATGCAACGCTATTAGCAAGCTCGAATTTTATTTGATAAATTTGTCTTATGTATTATTCATAAAATAAGTATTTATGTGAATTTATAAATAGTTTAGTCTTGGTCATCTTAAGTACTTAGAAAAATTTAAAAGTTTGATCAAAATCGCTTTAGTATTTGAACGTAAATGTGCATTTCACAATATTTTAATTGCAATTACTAGCTAATTCCTTTTAGATAAATATGAATTTGTGATTTCACAGAATTTATTTATTTTATTAGTAATCTTGAAAATACCTTCATTTAATAATGAAGAGATTTACTCACATAGAGTATAATTGACACGACTCTTATACAGCATTTCTTTTGTCTAGATCTATTATTTGTAGAGTTGATAGAATATTATAATTTTAAAAAGGAAATTATAAATAAAATTTGAAAAAACAGTAGGACAAATTTTTGCAAAAAAATACCATGAGAACAAGGAATATGGGATCAGATTTGTTATTTTTATGATAAAACCTTTTTTAACACTTTTAACTGTGGTTAACGTTTAACGGTTTACTGTATAATCGACATAAAAATTTGTAGAGCTCAGCAAACGGGTGCTTCTCAAATGTAGGCTTCAATAATGATGATGACGAAGAATCTGAACAAGTTTTGAACTTGGGCAAGGGATGCTTTAAACACGGCACCGTCGTTCACGAGATGTTGCATACATTAGGATTTTATCATATGCAGAGCACATATGACAGGGACGACTATATTAAAATTGTTTGGGAAAATATAAAAGAAGGTAATGTTTTGTATGTCATTGATTGCTTATATGTTTATACTTTTTATTTAACTTGGAAAGGCAAACAAGCTGACAATTCGACTAATGGAAAATGGTAATCATTATCTATAAACATGAGGAATGAACATCACAGAATACACTGTGACATTGCGAATTGCCATTCTTAAGGATTAAGATGTTACGCCTTCATAACCTGTAGTTATACTTTCATATCCATAGCCAGCTGGCGGTAGAAACATAAGTTAGATGGAAAGTACCCTAGCAAACGATTTTTGTACAATGTTTTTTTGGTAAAACATTTTGGTTTTTGCATATACTAAATGATGTCATTGTAGGTACCGAACATAATTTTGCAAAGTATAACAATGATACGGTGACAGATTTTGGAGTACCATACGACTATGGGAGCGTCATGCATTACCCAGAAAAAGCATTCTCCAAAAACGGAAACAAAACTATAATTCCATTGCAGGTAATTATAATTCTAAATACTTATTAAAATAGTACATAATATACACAAAAATGCAATTGAATTACCTAAGAAGTGCTTTCTGGAGTTAGTTAAAAAAATTCTTGGGCTTGTTTTAGGAAAATGCACACATTGGGCAACGAAATGAAATGTCAGAAAGCGATGTTCTGAAGCTAAATAAAATGTACTGCGAACAATCTGAAGAAGGTGAGATAGACGTTACACACCGGAACAGCTAGGCGTCTTTCAGTTTATCTCGTTTCAAATAATTTCATTATATTAAATGCATTTTACTGATTGATGTTTGTAATTTTATACCGTTTTCCACTAGTGCAGAAACTATCATTTTCCATTATTGTGATTTTTTTTGGGAAATTCATTTGAGTCGATAACGGAGATCGTTTATGTAAGAAAAAAATTGTGAAAAACATGTATATATTTTTTTTTTATAGAACTTAGAATGGCAAACAAGCAGGTGGGCTGTCAGCCCACTTGGTGGAAAGTGGTAACCGTCGCCTATAGACATGAGCAGTACTATGGACACAACTGAGTACAACGTTTCGCCCATGATACACCCTATGTGTTGCCATTCCTGAGAACTCAGGTGTTATTCCTCTGTTATGTAATAGGAAAAAATCTAACGTAATTTGTTAGTCAAAGCTGTAAAGGATAGTAAGGTGAAATTTACCGTATTTTGATAGAAAATATAAAGAAATCTAGAAATAATCTTTAGAGACATTTCACTAATGCATGTAACGACCAGTACGAGTAGTAAGTACATAAATGCTTAAACTATAGAAAAGTCAAAGCTCACAAATTTGAAATTATCAGTTAGGTACTTAATGTTACGGCGAATATTAATATTTATTTAAAAGACTAACTGTTGAGTTTCTTAAGGATTCTTCTCAGCAGAATTTCGAGCCCAGCAGTGGAAATATAAAAAAGGACGATTTAAAAGAACTTCTAAACAAATTTATTTGTATAAAGATGATTTGAATTTGAGTAAGAAGAGCTTATTTTTTGGAGATTCTGCGTTTTGTAAATTTAAAGGTAAATTTAATAAAAATAATATTATTAGAATCATACCCCGCAAATTGAAGCGACGATCTTAATCTTACATCGAGTCAATAGATGCAAATGGTGCAGGATCGATGGTGAAATATGAAAGACATCTATGTTCATTAGTGGATAATGGAAAGGTTGTATTGATGATGATGATATCATGATAATATTATATAATTATATTAATTGTATTTTAATATTTTGGTGAATGTTAGCGACAATAAAATTATTTAAAATGATCTAATTAACGTCTGATCTCTTTCACGTGAACGGATAGGATATGATATTGAATTAAAAAATATATGCGATTAGGTATGGTGTGGTATACCTATTTACTTAGGTGGTACTAAATATATTAAAAGTATACTTTGGTTCCACCACCTTGTAGGTATTGTATATTGTCTGCTTTGTAATGTAGTTCATTAATTCAGTGTAGTTATAAAACTGTGACAAAATCTGAAGGTTTAATTTTAGTTATTTGACTATAGGAATGTAAAAATAAGTAAGCTCATTCGAAAAGTTGCTTCGTTTGGTGTTCGGCGCGGATAAATATCTGTTTTCTACTGCTATCGCTACTGCTTGGAAATAAACAAAACTAAGTAGATTCAAAATAAAACTATATCAATCTGCCTGTGGTAATAGTAGATACTTAGGTACCTTTACCCTGCAATTACCACGCCAGCCAGGTAGCTCGAAATCGAGGAGATTAAATTACTAAATTATCTATTCTTGTTTTTCTTCCTTGTTCAAGCATATTTATGTATTGAGTAAGAAAATTAACCAATTCGTCATGTTGACTCCAATTTAATTCAGTTACTCGTTCCTTTGGTTTAAAAAATATGAAGGCTGTATTGCATCATTGGCTGCTTTTTTAATTCTTAGCTATTTTCTGATGTTTAGGTCCTCAATAAAAAGTTTTTTAAGATGAAATATTTAGTTTTATTTTCACTCTAACAGTAATTATAAAAAACCTACTTTTTTGAAACACCATATCAAGCACACACATACATACACATACCGACTGATTGTAAGGCAATTGCTTTGTGCATTTTAATTGTATGAATATGAACTTTTATACTATTATTAATAAAAACTAAAACCTACAAACCTATTTTAATTATTAAACTGTTTTGTTATTTCCTTTAAAATTGGGATTTTAGTTTAAAATAAAGAGACAAAATAGTTCAATAGCTGAAATAGGTTTATAAGAGGTTTGACGTTTTTGTGATTAAGGGGGTTAGAAGCTACTAAATCGGCCCAGCTGTCTTCAAGTTTTAAATATATAAAAAAGAACTATACATATACGTTTACGTTTATTAAGTAGTATTTAATTTTTATTTATAATAAAAGGTAGTATAATTAGATATAGGTTTATACCTAGATATTTATATAAATCTTAAAATAAATAAATAATATGATGTGAACTTGCTGTAATCTAAATAAAGAATTGATATAAAAAAAGAGTGCACTTCTTATAGTTATATAATAAAATGATAAAAATGGTACCATTATTTACCCATGACTATTATATGCATACATGCTACAGAAATAAACAGTAAAACGTGTCTGTCACACTAGAGATCAGTTCTTTAAATGTTGAAATTTTTCTGTTCAATTCAAGGGTACCTAACCTACTTATACAAATTCGATTTTCTCGCGCAAATTATAATTTTTATGGTTTTGTTAACTGACAATGGCATTGATTTATTGCAGTAGACTCGGCTTAAATTTGATCATGTTGTATAATCTTTTAAACTATTTGCTTAACCATGTGTAAAATTGAAAACATTTGGAGTACTTCTATGTTCCGCGCGATTTGTAACGTCAATAAATATTTCGTTGATTTGCCGATGACGTATTTATTAGGTAAGTACCCATTAAAACAGTTACAATAAAAATAGCTAGTAGTAAAAATATAGTTGTTTATAAAAAGTTACTTATGTTCTCCACGTCACATATGACTTTCAAGATGATTATTCGAGCTATTAAATTTTAAGGGGTAGGAGAGTCGTGGAACCAATAAATGAACGCTTAAGCGATTTTAGTCACTTTGAATTAAAATAAACTTTCACTTTTAAAATATTAGTATGGATATGTTTTTCCTTACGTTACGTGTCATTGTTGTGACCCTCCAGGTCATGCTGTTGGGTAAACTAAGTTGCTCCAAGAGCTAAATATATATCTAGTTTTAACATTTAGCATACAATGAATGAATAAGTGCTATTTATTTGCGATTTCACCGCAACGAGCGACAGCTGATTTTCCTTTTGTGTTTCACACCATGCAATTACAGAAATGTCATATTGAATTTATTGTTGTATTAAGATAAAATTTCATGAAATGTTAGAATAACTCGGCCGATAAATTTAGCAATTTGGTCTTGCATGAGTTATGTTGGTGGTGGTGGAACGTGCTGTGACCAGCGCAGGCGCTGTCGCAAGCGGCGTCTGCGCAGTTACAGGTTGCCTTGTGAAATGGTCGTACCGGAATCTATATTAAATCCTGCTCCACCCCGATGGGTTTTGTTCGGCAGAAAAAATCTTACGGTACAGGAGTAAAATCTATAAATGGATCATTGTCCAACATTAGTGACATGTTTAAAGATATCACTATTATGACATACTTGCTATGGAGTGTGAGTTGTAGATAGATATTCTGATGCGTTAAATAATACGTCATTAGGGATAGGTTTCAATTAGAAAATAATGGAATTAATAAATATATTGGTGATTATACTAGTGGTTTGTGTGCTCGAGTGTTCTACTATGTCTCAAGATGAAATTGAAGAATTCACCGACTATCTCCAAAAAACTTCGCAGTTAGACCAAACTTTGAAAAGTAAGTGGGTATATACTTTTTAAATACTTTGTAATTTTGGTAAATGCATGTCTTAAAATTACAAGTGGACTGTGTTTTGCAGTTATAATGATTATGAATTAATTCAAACCAATTGAAGGAAAAGGTACCTTCTACTTAAATTAATCAGAGTAAGTATTAATACTACTTATAGGCAGTGTGACTTTGAATGAATAGATCTACTTTACCAAAAACATTTTTTTGTTTGAGTCTTTTGTAAATAACCAAAGTCCCAAGACAATATTGACGCTAGAATGTTACAGTGTTTCTTATCTACTACGTAAACCATCTATGACATTAAATAATTTACTGTAACTTAATTATTATTTAGAATATAAAACAGATTTAATTCGAAACTTTTAAACTTTTATTATCTTTCATATTAATCTTCTATTCTTTTATTTCTATCCTTCCACTTCCGCAGAAGGTGCGGATCCTGATGACGACCTCGACGAGGATGAACCAGCATCAGATCATGCGTGGGAAGAAAGCGGGAAATTTGAAGGAGATCTTATCCTTAATGAAAAGCAGAGACGTTTGATAGTAGAAGACGTCGCTGAAGGACTTTCTAGGAACGGCCTTCGGGACAGTACTAAGAGATGGCCTGATAACGAAGTCATTTATTATATCCAAAAGGAACATTTCTGTTAGTAATATATAATTAAAATAAAGTATTTTAAGAATAAAATATATATGCATTTTGAAATATCACAATTGAAAACATTCAATTTAAATTTTGATATATCAAAAATTAAGTTAAAAAATTTACCTTCCGCCGATTCGATCCGATCGATTCGAATCTACATCTCTTTGCTATCTGTGTTGTGCTCCTAGTTCCACCACAGAAACAACTAACGTTACTCAGCATTATGAAAATGATATATTAAAAAAATGTGATATTTCAGCTTCTGACCAAGTGGATGCCATACAAAATGGGATAGATGACATTGCTCGGGCATCTTGCGTTAAGTTTCGACCTTATAAGAGAGGAGACAGAGATGCTGTAGTTATACAGGTATAAATAAAGTGTTATTTTATCGTTACATAATTTTTGTACATATATGTTGGTAATGTGTATATTCGTAAATATTTTACGACTAACTTAAATTAGCAAAAGTTTGTGAAGTTAATATTCCGACTTGAAGCGACGTGGATAATTTAAGTCTTCCAATGCCTATATAGAGATGGTGCATGCCTATAACCGACTCTTAATTTTTACCACTCGAAACAGTATAACTTTAAAAAGAAAATTGCTATAAAATCTTTTTATCATATAGGGCAGCAGGCGTGGTTGTTTCTCACAAGTGGGATACCAAGGTGGATACCAAGTATTAAATCTCTCAGGCCGGCATCCAGTAGGTCGGGGATGCTTCCGACATGGAACTGTGGTGCATGAACTATTACATACACTTGGATTTTATCATATGCAGAGCAGTCCGGATAGAGATGACTATATTGATGTTATTTGGGAGAATATTGTACAACGTAAGTCTATTTTTTTAATAGGTGAAAATGTAATGGTACATTATCACTACTCGCCTACACTATCACTGTACGATGGCGGGGCACCGGTAAAAAAACAGAGCAGTTACCCTATTATGACAAATTCATCTGGAAATAACCACGATGGTTTTCAGGAGGAAACACGTGGATGTAGACCTGGTAGGGTATATTATTAGCAATAGGATCCCCATTATTACGTTGACATTTGAAATTGATATGGTACTGCGGACTAAAACAGGTCACTCATCATGCCCTAGCCAATCTTATGGTATTTTCAGTTGAATAATTTTGCAATTTAAGATATCGTTATTGCAATATGTAGTCGCTTATCTCAGGTCGCTGACATTCGCAAAACAAGTATTGATGAGGTAAAAGTTTTGACTTTCACTATAATGATAAAGGAAAGGAACGTGGGAAATCACATCTAAGTGTTCGCATGTATAGACCTATGTGTGTATAGAGACAATGAATCCAGTATCGTGGTCATAGATACTGTCACCATCTGTACACATTAAGAATATAAATTGCGTGGCTTGATACATAGCTTAGTAATAAATTGTTTTCACTATGTATACTTAAGTATAAATTCGTAAAGGAAGAGCTAGTATGTTGATTATTTTATGAAGAAATTATGCAGCAAATTTTATAAAGGTATTATTATAATAATATACCTATATATACCTACATAATATTACCTATATATTCAAATAAAAAATATTCTACTTATAAATCTATGATTATAGTTTACATCTATGGTTAAGTAACAAATGTTTAAATATTAGTATAAACTTCCACATTTATAAGTAGAAAATAATACAGAGTAGGTAGAGAGTAAAAAGTATAAAATATACGAATAAATTGCACACTAATTCACAAAAATTCACATTAATTATTTTTATTGTTTATCCAAATATCACATAAAAGCCACTGTACTGGTTTTGATGAAATTTTATAAGTATATATCAGGTCAGGAATAAATGTCGGTTTAGCATACAGATACGGTTCAGAAAACTATCCTTCAAAGAATATTTTGGTTAAATATGGTAGATGTTTATAACTTTAATTTAAAATTATCAAGAATCTAATCTAATGTTAATATATATTTTATTATTTTTCTGCCTTATTATGTGCTGTTCTAATTTATCAGCATTAGAATTATAGTTGTATATATATTATATGTAGGTATAGTACATTATTGCAGCGGCCAGCAACTGAGGCATTGATAGACGAACGTACAAATGTGGGCCGAGGTGTAACCGAGGCACACATACGTGAGTCCATCAATGCCTAGTTGTGGCCAAGGCTTGTATAGTACTTTTCTCAAACAATGCGTGGAAATAAAAAACACAATTTTAGTTTTTAAATTCAATGACGAATAACGAACAATAATAATTTTTCACGCGCCATAATGTTCACTTGTTTTTTTTTTTTCAATAAATTTTTCTTTCTATTTGCAAGCCAGTTCGAAATTTAAATAAAACCTTGTATAAGTTACCTCCTTGGTAGCCATGTTTCGAAGTAAAAGGGCATTCCATTTTTAAATTACAGGACAGATATGAGTTTACATAGTAATTTATCTGGCCGCAAAACACGACAGATATGGATTTTCATATAACTTTTGCCGGTCGCTGCCCGCATGTATCTTGGCCAGTACGGCAATTTTGATTTATCTCGAAGAAGATTGTCAAAATAATGCTCACATTTCCAAGCATGTTTGAGTAAAATATATTTTATATACACACCTCAACACCGGCTAGGGATATTTCATATAAAGTTCTTAAATTCTAAAAATACTGGCCGTTTTTTTTTTTTGGAGATATTTTATAGGTCTTTTTTAATGATTCTAAATTTGTATTTGAAAAAATAATTAAAAACAATTGATTTGCGCGGCATTACTAAGGTAAAATTCGAATGTTTCAATTTACTTATCATAGTTTTTGGAAATCTTTTTTGCCAAATTAATGTTTTAAAACAAGTTAGTGATTGATCTGGAATTTATGCGACTGTTTTCATCATGCAGTGGCGCCTTTTAATAAGAGAGGAGATGTTACGAGCAGTAGGCATGCTCCAAACGGGGGCTACTCAACGGACGGTAGCTGAGGCGATTGGAATAAAACAAAATGTGATATCAAGATTATGGTCACGTTATCGTCCTACTGGTGAAGTGGCTGAAGGACACCCTGGTGGGAGGCACATTACCACTCACCAGCAAGGCCGATTTTTGCTAATTGCCGCGAGAATGCAACCAAATGTTACGGCCATGCAGTTAGTTTAAAGGCTCCAGTCAGAGTACCAGTTGCTCGTGAGTGACCAAACTGTGAGGAGAAGACTGCATGAAGCTAACCTGCATGCTCGCAGACCGCTTCGTACTCCAGCGCTGCGTCAAAGAAATCGTGGACGAAGATTACAATGGGCTCATGAACATTTGCTCTGGGAGAATATCCAGTGGTCTGTAATACTGTTTACTGATGAGCTCCGATTTGGTTTCCATCTAGATTCACGAAGAGTACGTGTATGGCAAGTTCCTGGTCGAGAGAGCCGTTTGCGATACCCTCAGGAAGTCCATTCTTACCATGGCGGAGGAAACTTTGTAAAAAAGTCGATTGCTTGGGTACCTCTCTCCCATTCGTGTTTCAACCGTAAAGCAGTTGTTTGCATGGCTGTGTTTCGGTTTGAAGGGTGGGATATGGCGTGAATTTACTGGGTACGGAGGAATAACACCCGAGTCCTCAGGAATGGCAACACATGGGGGGTATCATGGGCGAAACAGTATACTCTGTTATGTCCATGGTACTGCCTATGTCTATAGGCGACGGTTACCACTTTCCATAAGGTGGGCCGTCAGTTTGTTTGTCATTCTAAGTTCTATAAAAAAAGGCGGTACAATTATGGTTTGGGCGGGAATTCGTGTCGGTAGCAGAATAGACTTGGTTTTTTTTATGGATGAAAATGGAATGGTAGCCTCCCTGCGCTAACGGGATACGCTGGCGGAGCACCAGTGAAGGGTGATCGATGAGAATGAAAACAGGCCAGTTAGCCCATCATGATGAATTCATCTGGAATTAACCACGACAGTTTTCAGGGGGAACCGCAAGGAGGTCGACCTAATTGGGTATATTGCTAGCAATGGGATTCTTAGTTTTTATTACTAACAATCCCTTTTCCCCCAATAGACCTCGTTTGGATCAGAAACACCATGAGCGCTAAAAAATACCGTAACCAGGTGCTAATACCAATTGTCCATACCCGTCGACTGCAAATGGGCTAAGAATTTAAACTCATCCAAGACAGCGTCCGCCCGCACACAGCGTGAATCATGACCAGCTGGCTGCAGGAGCACGATGTGTCGGTCTTAAGCTGGCCCGCGCAATCACCAGACCTAAACTCCATAGAGCACACGTGGGATATACACCAAAGAAGGGCTCTGAAGGATTTTACTGCGAACATTGCAACTGAAGAGCAACATTTTTTGCATCTAAGCAGAACCTGGGACAATATTCCACAGCAGGACTTTGATCACTTGATTCAAAGCATGAAAAACCGCTGCAGAAACGTTATTAAAATCATGGGTGGTTTTACTGACTTCTAATTTTTGTATCACTTTAAAAACTTGAATACTTAGCTTTATATTTCTTTTTTCTTATAAAAAACATTAGCTTGTTTGCCATTCTATGTTGTATAAAAAAATCTTTAATTAATTTTACCATTTTTTGTCTTCACTTAAATAAAACTTAAATTATGCCAGAATTATTATTTTATTTTATTTTGAAGTGTAATCTGTTAAATGGGCTTTTCAAAAATATATATGATATTTATTTTAGAAAATTGAGAAAATTCAAAATATCCCTAGATGATATATATAGGTGTATATGTATTAGTATATTTTATATTTTAGTAGTAAATGCACTCCTTAATTGTTTGCTTGCCTACTAAAAGAGAATGTCATTAGGTGTTAACTCTGCTACATGTATATTTATTATATAATTATGCATTGATGTTTAAATTAATATTTCTATATATGATTTTCAGCTGCAAGACACAACTTTCGCAAGTACAATACGTTTGCTGTCTCTGACTTTGGTGTGGGTTACGATTACGATAGCGTCCTTCATTACAGTCGGCGAGCATTTTCCGCTAATGGACAGGATACGATTGTGCCTAAAATGGTAAGCATCTATGAATTACCACATTGTTTATAATGTAAATTATAGAGACACTAAATATTTTAATTATTTTTAGAGTGGAGCGGACATTGGACAACGAATTGGTCTTTCCGATAAAGATACCCAAAAATTAAATAAAATGTACTGTGACGCAGATTCAAATAATTTTGATGCAGAAGAAGAGACCACGAAAAAGCCCGTGCCAAAAAAGAAGACTCCTAAAAATAAACCTTTCGAAGGTCATGGAATTGGATATCATCAAGGTAAAACAGTGGTCATAAAATTGCTACCTTCAGCAGAAACGTATCAGTTGCCTGATATTCCAGAATTTCATTTATTTGATTATTTTAGTAAAACGCCGGAAGCCGTGCCAACGTCGCAAAGTGAAGACTGGGGAAAACAATTAAAATATAATATATATAAACCACTAGCATCAATAAGTGGAGAGTACTACAGTAGTCGTGGTAAGATGAAACTACAAGATCATATTAATGAGAATCCACAAGAAGAAAATAATTACAATAGTTATGAAGGTAGAACAGCTAAAAACCCAAATTTAATGTATAAAGGAACCGAAAAAAGTCTAGCGGAAGAAAACTCTCATTTGGGCTCTACTTTTGAAGATAAAAATCTAAATAACTCACAGGAATCAACATCCGAAGAAGACAATCAAAATAATTCTGAGGAAATACGACCTGAAGTTAAAAATAAACAAGATAGCTCTTCTGATAAATTAGATGACGATCTGAATGATGCTTTTCAAAGACTTGGAAAAATAATAAAAACTCATGTATATCCATCTCAAACACCAGATTTAAATGTGTATAGACTTAATACAGATTATAAAGAATTCTATAGTCCTGAGGACACGTCCCGAAAAATATCTGATAAAATAAAAAAATTAAAAGGTCCCAATTATAATTTTTCCTTATTACCTAAAGAAATAAAAGAAAAATATATAAATCAGGAAAACGTTAATTCAACTGCCTTATTTTTAAAGGATTTATACAGTTCTAAGAAACAAAACGATAAAAAAGAGTCTGACATATTAGAAGAAAATCAACAAGAAACCCTAAAGTCAACAGAGGACGATGAACCAACATCAAATAATGAAATGGATTCAACATATAGAACATCATTTCCATTAAAACATGAATATTATGCTAAAAAGAAATATAACACCCCAGGTTATGCATCATTGGCTAATATTCTACCTAAGAATAACTATAGTAGTTTATATTCTCCTACAGATAAAGTGTCCGATAATGATACAAAAATACATTATAAAGTATTAGGAAAACTTGTACCAATATATAATAAATGGTATATCAAAGATGAATATAAACATAATCCAGTTAATTATGATCAAAACATTTATAGCGATGATTTGCAAGATAAAAGTGTTAGTCCGTTTTCTGCAAGAAAGTCGCAAAAAATATATTCTCCAAATGCTGAGGAAGTATACTCCCCAACGGCATATTTATTGTTTGGGGTGCCCGTTCCTTTAACCCGACATTGGTACAGAATAGATGACGCTGGCATTCCGCCATACAATACATTCGATACAAGTAAAACAATCGGTTCGAAGAAAACAAGTGAAAACAATAGGTGAAAAGAATGATGGTGTGTAATACAAATATTTTTACAGTACAAAATTGAATTTTAATACGTATATAATTTTAATATGGTTTAGAGACTTGATTTAAAATTTCTTAAATTAAATAAATACTAGCTCTTTGGTCTTGACAGTGTTCATGAGACCAAGATAAAAGTAATTTATTTACGTAGTACTCTGTGTTGTGTTTTTATATAATATATCACAATGCAGATGTAGCAGCTCAATTTCGTGTTCGGGATAGAAAGTACAAATTCATCTACAGAAGAATAAAAAAATTGGGCTGTTCTAAAACAGCCCAATTTTTTAAGCGAAGCGTTTGTAGTGAGAATCTTTTTGCTGAATGCTAAGTTTCTTACTTCCTTGAGAAATAGGAACCTTATAGAATATTTAAGATTAATACTTAGGTTCAGTAATTCGCATTTTTTTTATAATGTACATATACTAAGAGATAAATTTATTAGAATTAAAGTAATATTTCAATTATTATATATTTGTTTTATTTGGTTCGACTATTGTTATTGGAATTGCCAAGTATTTTGGCACTTCTAGGTATTAGCACATAAGATTGTAATAGATAGAGGTCAGTTAGGTCAATCTCTTCAAATCAAATCAAATCAATCAATCAATCAAATCTCTGCCATGTGCGAAGAGTAGCAATGACTGAGTGGCTCACCTTCGCAATTTGATGTGACAAGCTGGTATTGAGTTTATGTAAAGACAGAGATCTTTATTGGTAGCTTCTAGATGTATAACTAATTTGTTAAATGGGATAATTGTAAGCTACCATCAATTCCTAGGGTGGGCACCAGATAATTAGAGGGTGGGTTTAAATATGTTATTGAAAACACCAATAGTAAAACAAAAAAATATTGCAGTGTTGTCTAAATAGCAAATTCTTTTTTAATTTAGTGGAAAATATTCTTCTCTAATATAGGGAAAATATTTATTTAAAAACAAATTTAAAAATAAATTTGTTTCTTATTAATTAATGGCTAAATATCTATTATTTTCCTTATTTATTAACATATTTATTTATTTTACACTTTATTGCACCAAGTAAAAAGAGAAATAACAAATATAGTAAATATTAATGAGAAGTGATATAAAAGGCGGCCTTATCGCTAAGCAATCTCTTCCAGACAACCTTTGGGTAGAGGACATTGAGAAAAGACAAAGGGTAGGTGGCGCATTATTATATAAATATTATCATATACAAACATATATACATACATACATATACATATATACATATACATATATAATATATACACAATTAAATATATACATAACATACACATACTTAATAGCACACATACAACAGAAAAAAAATTACGAAGGAAAACGAACACAGGAAAATAGTACTAAAGTGAGAGGTAATAGGATTTGAACATAATTTGGTATATTCGTAGACTTTTTTTATAATAACAGCATGTGATCACTATATGGTTCTGAGCGAACATAGGGACAGTATGATCCATGATTGTAGTCACCTGAAAAGATTTAGTCGTTTTCTTAAAGGTTGCGTAATACTATTCCATTATCATCAATTAAAAATATACGCCCACAGTGTCTTGTTTTTATCATATTATATTATAACTGTTTACATAACACTTCTATATATCATTGTAATAACTATATGAGTCAGTGTATATTGATAGCGCATGCGGGAATTCCATTCCAGTTTCATCCCATAAAAAGATCTCTATTTATGCATAAAATAACGAAAATCAGAAAAAGCAGAATATCTTCTTTATCTATTCATATCTTCATTTACTAAAAATCTTATTTATATTTACAATTTTTTTTAACAACAAATTATACATTATTGACAATATTTGTAACAATATGAATTATTATCAGTATACTCGTATTCTAGTGGTTAAATGTTTGTTCTGGGGGGAAAGGGATTGTTAGTAATGGAGACTGAAAATCCCATTGCTAGCAATATACCCAACCAGGTCGACCTCCTCGCGGTTTCTCCTGGAAACTATCATGGTTAATTTCTGATGAATTCATCATGATGGGCTAACTAGCCTGTTTACATTCTCATCTATCACCCTTCACTGGTGCTCCGTCAGCATATCCCGTTAGCGCAGCCAGGGTTACCATACCATTTTCACCCATAAAAAAAAATGTTTGTTCTGGGCATAATGAAATTTGAAGAATAATTAAAATGTTAGCAACACTGGATAGTATTTGTCATTTATCATTGACAATTTCTTACGATGACAGGAATATTTGATAGGTCCCAATTATCATAAAATAACGAAATATTACCTACTTGTTTTTATTCTAAACAAATTATTTGCCATGATTTTACATCGGTGATAGCGAAATTGTTAAGTGTGTTACTTTATTATTTTCGAATTTAATGGGCTGTGGAGTGTCTTGTTTGACACAAACGACAATGTTGTTGTTTGGTAAAAATTCCAATAATACTAATGAATCACGAGCTAAATTAGAGAGGAAACTCTATCTAGCTAAGGAATCACCCGAGCCAGATTTCGATTTATCGGATTGTCAACTGCGGCATGTACCGTCCGGCATATATTCTATATGCAAAGTATACAGGAAACATCATTTGTATTTGCATTGTAATAACTTGCATTCTTTAGAAGGTGGTGGACAATTATCAGATTTATATTGCCTGAAAGTATTAAATATTAGTTCTAATAAATTTTTACAATTATCATGTGACATCAAATATCTGGTGAATTTGACTGAGCTGTATGTACAAGATAATAATTTAAAGGATATTCCTAATAGTATTGAGTTTTTACAAAGCTTACAAATTTTAAATGTTTCTAAAAATAGACTGAAAACATTAACACCATCATTAGGGAAGTTAAAAACACTTAGACAATTGGATATTACTGAAAACAATGATTTGAAAGAACTGTGTCCGGAGCTATGTTTTGCCACAAATATAATATCTTTAAAACTGGATAGTGAACATTTCATTTTCCCTCCAGCTGGAGTTGCTAGACTAGAGACATTTGAAATAATGAGCTATCTTTGTAAGCAAATGAATGTTGACTACATACCTCCTTCATCCACTGATTCTGAAATTTTATCTATTCAATCCCCAAGTTATGTTTATGACCCTTTTTTAAAATATAATATGACTACATGGGAGGAGCATGAGGCAGCTGTAATGGAACAAGAAAACAAATTCCATGAGGCTGCCAAACAACAAAGAGAAAAATTTCTAACAAAAGTGTTACAAGAACAACAAGAATTAGACTCAGAAATTGCAAGAATCCATGAAGCCAAAGAAGTGGAACGACAAAGGCTATTGAAAGCAATTCAGGATGATGAAAGAGAAGTTGAGTGTTTGGTTAGGAATTTTATACAATCAGATCTTTTGAAACCAGAGATTTTACAGCAACAACTAGCACATGAACAAGCCGAGCATGATCGATTACTTGAAATCACTCGTCAGAATTATGACAATATCAAAAGAGTTGATGTTTTAAAGGCTATGGAAGCTCTTATTGAAGAAGATTTTTCAATTCAACATTCCAAGAAACATTATGAAGATAGTTTAAATGATATGAAGCACAGCATACTTATGCAAGAAATGGAAGGTGCTGTTAAGTTAGAAGAATTATTGAGTGCCAAAGATCAGTCACATACAGTATTAGTGCAGCAGTTATTAGAAGATGAAGATCTCCAGAAAGCGATGGTTGCTTCACTGATTGAAAGAGTTGATTCAAGAAGTTGGAGCTTAAATCAAGAAATTGCATTGATTTCTGCACATCTTGCCAGACTTAGTGTTATTGAACAAGAAAAGAAAAAACTACAGATTTCTTGTAATTATAATGAGTTGCTTCATCAGAGAATGCAGTTAGTGAATCTGTTAGATGATTTGTTGGAACAACGCAATAAAAGAAGGAAACAACTTGTTGACACATTAAAAGAAATGGAGAATGAAACTGTAAAAACAACAGATTTTTGGTTGAGAAATTATCAAAAACTAATAGACTCTGCACCTAAGAATTTATTAGAAGTTGGGAAGCAGTTGGATCCTGTTCTTGCAAATTACCTACTGCAGGAGGGTGTAATACACTGTTTACCATTCTTGGTAAAATTTTTGTTTTCTGATAAATCTTTATTGAATGTCACAATAGACGATTTGAGAGAAAATGGGGTGTCACTCTCTTCAGATAGAAAATCAATATTACGAGCAATAAATTACTATGTAAAGGCCAAGACTCAGATTCATTCTTTAGCTGATAATGTTGACAGGGTAATACCAAGTGCTCCTACAGAGGAAGATGTCGAACAAAACTATACTGGTGTTGTTACTACCAGTGAAACTGAGAACTCAATATTGGAGTCAGAATGTGTTATCTGTATGGATGCTAAGTGTGAAGTTATATTTATTCCTTGTGGCCACATGTGCTGTTGTCAACCATGTACTGAGAGTGAGAAGAAAATTGAAAGCTGTCCACTGTGTAGAGATAACATAGAGAGGACTATAAAAGTCCGAGTTGCATGATTGTTATGGTAATTGTAGGTAATTATTATTTTATTTTATGTTTATTCATGATTAGCTACTTAACTTGCTTATCTGTGATTTCATTTGTATGAATTAGGACAAAGTATCCCATGAGTTCATCTAGACATTCTAGGCTATAATTTGCATACAAAATATTAAATACATCTGTAGGCTACCAACATATGCTTTCAAATCTATATAGGTAGAGAAAAATAAATAGTGACATGTTTGACAAGCTTGCTAAATTTAAACAATTGGTGTACAGAACATATTTTTGTAATGCTATATATTACAATGAATGAATTAAGTGTAAATATTATTCCTTATATCATCCTATATTAAATCCTTTCTTCCCTCCTTCTAAATCTCTAAATATAAATATCTTTAAGCCAATATCTCCACTTCCATTGAATAATCAATAATGAAATATCTAAACATTCAAAGTTCTTATTATCAAAATAAACATACAGTTCTTTTGGATAAGGAATTTTTTTTTAATGTTATTATGAAATGATTTCAATTTCTTTTTATGATGTTGGAATTAAAAAAAAAATGATGGAGCATATGAATTTTATGTGTATTATAATTTGATGTGTTTAAAATTCTGTTTCAGGAGTTCAAGACTGGAAATTGGTACAAAATGGACACATGAAGATTCTATAGTTATCAATTAATTGTGTATTAACCACAGACAAAAATTTACATGTTTGCTGCAAGAATCTACTTCAATAAGTAAAAAACAAGTATTATGCTATATAATTATTATATTATAATAATATATAAATAATTTTTGTATAAGTCCTCTTTCACACTAAACTGACTCCATGACAATGCTATACTGTATATGCTGTTCAGTTATTATCAGTAATTTATTTAAAAAATATTTTAATTTCTAAAATTTGAGTTGAAATGTACACCACCACTATTTTTTAAATGTTAGTAGTGACATCTGTGAAATTTCATTAATTGAAGTTTGATGTAAAGAAAAAGAATTATTCTTCTAAACTCTTTGGCCAGTATAATAATAGTCTGTGCTATTAACTTCATTTTGTCAACAATAGTATCTATTGATAATATTTTTTATGGATTCATAAAATGTATGTATTTTGTAAGGACTGCTTCAAAGTTGAATAAGTCTGATATGATACCAATAATCCATAAAAACTATTACTTAAGAATAAGTAAGTTAGTTTTATTTTTTAGTTGTATTATTTAGCTAATAAAGTCGCACATTTACATTCGGGAAAATATGAAAAGCAATACAATAAATTATTGCCTCAATTGATAGCTTTAACATATGGTTATTTATATGCCTATTTCCAAATCTAATTGTAAAATACCTATTCGCCCGAAATCTTTGTGTTTGTATATTTTCTTACAATATCCTTTGTGATTAGGTAAGGTCAACTGTTGATAAGACATTCCTGTAAAAATGAAGTTGTATAAGTAAAAACTATGTTAAAATTACAAGTTTAGCTCTAAATGTAATATTAACAAATGATAGGACATGATTTGTGCGTGTGTAATTTAATTGTCTTTGGTATCAAAATACAAAGTGTTTTTTTTTATAAATGAAAATGGAATGGTAACCTGATACATGATATGTTAGGATGAAATCAGGTTAGTTGGCCCATCGTGACATATTAACTAGGAACTCACGATGGTTTTCAGGGGGATTGGGTCGTATCGTCCTGACAAGTTATATTGCTATTACTAGCAATAGGGTTGATAGTCATAATTGCTAACAGTCTCCTGTTAATGAATGTTGTAATTTAATAGAAGGAAAATTCTAAATTGCCGTAAGTGCCACAAAGTGTTGCAATACAATTTAAAAACAGGCTAATGGGAATTTGTAGGAACAAAATATTTTCCTATTACTGTTTGCCTTGTACTGTGTATATAATGTTTTAAATTTATATATTATATAAGTAGATTAAGTATCTAAGTATTAACATAACGTGGAAATGCTAAAATATTACAAAAGCTTGTTGATATTATATATATAAAAAGGTTGCGTATTTAAGATTCTTGAATCTTCTTTACGTTACTGTAACTATTTTCTCTTTGGACACCTTAAAAAAGAAATGCAAAAGCAAATTTTATATTTTATTTATGGCCAACATTTTTTTATGTAATTGAAGATATTGGTTTTTTGCTATTGTATTATTTTGTGTCATAGTTTAAACTTTTATTTATTAGGAATATGTTTATTCTTTGCTCATGTAATGTATATACTGTAAATAATATGGCGCATGTCAATCGTATAGATTGTGCCTTTCTATTATATTTATAATAGTTGTTTAAATTTTTATATTCGATAATCTCAGATTCGGGATTCGGCTGTGATTTCAACACATTCAAGTTAGGTTTTTTTTTTTTATTTATTGATCAATAACACGTGATGTAAAATATCACTTATTACCAATCTTTGGGAAGTGCAAAAATACTTGACGGGCGTCTGGTATAAACAGTATAAAAATTGTAAATGAAGTGAGCAATTTATTTAAGAATATTAAATAAATATAAAAATTAGGTAATACGATCGCAATATTATGGATATTATAAAGCAGAACGAAAAATGGCAGGATGTATACAGATGTATATATCCTGCAGACATAGATAGACATTCGTCTCGATGTGTGCTGAAAAGTACTCGAATAATATTCAAAATTTCTTAAAGTTTGACTTAACCAGTGCGTGTTGCCAGTGATGACACATGGGACCGAAACACGGTCTTACACGGTTGCCCGTATGTAAAATCTTCAAATATTTTAGCGAGTTTTGGAGAGGGCTATGCTCCGACTTTCTTTGCGTGACTGAATTTGATATGAGGATATCCGAAAAAAAAAATCAATGCTACCGACATAGCCTGAAGGATAAGCAAGCTGAAGTAGCAATGGGCTAATCAAATAGCTTTAAGAATCGATGGGGACGAAAGGTTCTTGAATGGTGACCTCGTACGAACAAATGCAGTATAGGATCCCTCTCCCACTAGATGGAGTGACGACCTCAAATGCATTGAAAGAAGTTAATGGATGTAGGTGGCTCAGGAACTTTCCTAGTCGCAGTCTATGAGGGAGGTCTATGTTCAGTAGTGGATAGATAATGGCTGACATCAAGATGATAATTATCTATTGTGTTTTAATTTTAGATATAGATGGTTTCCATATTATTACTAAGTTATTCTATAATCTTGTCTATGAAATTTTGGTTCACTTTACTCTAGTCAATGGTCCATTGCGTGTAGAATATTCTAATCAAGTAATTTTAAAACTGGATTTTTACAAATAACTATAAAGTTGCACGAAAGCTGTCTGTTGCGTTTTTTTTTTGTTGAATTTGTCATAAAGACGACCGTTTCGTTTAAAATGCCGTTGCGAGTCTCAATAATGGATTCAAAATGAAAACGATTTATACTACATGATTGAATTCTGAATTCAATAATTATATAAAAAATTTCATGATGATCTCGTACAAATTTTGTGGTTTTTGTTTTATATGAGTGTATAAAATTGTGTAAAGATTCACTATATTTCACTCAATATCTACTCGTATATGCTATTATTTTTACCTATTTTAGTGTCCCATATTGTAGGGAATTGTATTTTTATTGAAATATGGATTATTAGTATAATTTCCAATTTAATAATAAGTACCTATATAGCTATATGGTAACTAACTAAAGATCATATATATGTTACTGTAAAAGTCCGAACATCGGTAAATCTTCAATTTTACTAACAAGGCACCCTAATTTTGATAATATTTAGCGAATACCTTTACTGACCTAGAAAGACTTCACCACTTGCCATGTCACAAATTCTAGTTAGTTTGAAATTTAAAATTACCACAGAATGTTACACTTTTTAGTATTAGCTTTTACTGGAAAATCTTATGATTAATGGATTTTACCGCAGTTCGAACTTTTACAATATTTACTAGAAGACTATAATCTCTATAACAGTACTTTATATTATGGCTATATATTGAATACTCCATGCTATGTTTATATATTTTGGTATTACATACATATATATAAGCGCATACGTTTTATATAAAGAGTGAGGTTTGATTACACTTGCTAGAGCAACATTGTTATATTTTTCCTACTTTTTGAATTGTTATCACAATTTTTCAAATACACAGTTATAGCACATCTTTGTGTTTGTTTTTAAGTAAAGAATCTAAACGTACCATTGTGTTCACACCAGAATTATTACCGTTCCAAAATACCGTTTGATAACTTACGGAAGGGACTTTATTAATTTCAAAATGTCTAATGTTTCAAAATGTTAAAACTTAGTAATTGTTAGTTTTTTTTTATACGACTTAGAATGGCAAACAAGCTGACGGTCCACCTGATAGAAAGTGGTAACCGTCGTCTATAGACATCAGCAGTACCATGGACATAACAGAGTATACTGTTTCGCCCATGATATCCCCCATGCGTTGCCATTCCTTGAGCCTTCCTCACTCAGGTGTTATTCCTCTGTACTCAGTAAATTCACGCCATATCCTACCCTTCAAACCGAAACACAACCATACAAATACAACAAACCCAAGCAATCGACTTTTGTACAAAGTCTCCCTCTGGTGATTTAATTTAGTAACAGGATATAATATCAGTTTTTAAAAAAATGATTAGGTTCACCGTTAGAATAGTCTTAAAAAAGTTTAATTCATTCGATTTTACCCTATATCTATAACTTTTTACCCAATACTTCGTAAGTGTGGATTTCAGAAGTAGAAAAACAAAGAAATATACTACTTCTGGATGGCGTTTCAAGATAAAATATACACCACATTTTAAATGTGCAGCTAACTCACACTTCATATTACTTTATCATAATACCTTCCAATTACATGCATTGTTTAATTATATTTTTATTATATTAGTAAGGTCCTATGCCTTTGACACTTAATTAAAATTTTACATCGTTCATTAATATTTAATTATTGTTTTTAAAAGAAATGAACTGCATGTGCTTAGTGCTTACTGAAAATTATAAAATCAATAGGTTTATAATATATCTTGTTTAATATAGGTAGATTAGATACTTGATAGAAATAAATGCTTAAGTCTTTTAATACTTATAGGAGGTTTCTTAAGAATAGTATACAAATTTATCTTGGACTATATTTCTAGAAATGATTACCTTCGCTCAGTATCGAACAGATAAGTTACCTTTTAGATTTGCGTATGTTATCTGAGATAAAGCGTTTTTACATAATAGGCTTTTGATACACGTGAGGCGATGCTATGCTACAATGGAGTTAACACGTAAATAGCAATTACAGATAAGCCTTTTATGTCAACCTTCATTCCGTTCAAACATGAAGGAAATTATATAATAGAAGTAAAGAGCTGTTGTGAAATAGGCATTTGTTAAGAAATCCTTATTACTTTTTGGATTACGGCAATAATTATACGTGAAGCAATTGTATTTGCATGGCTGTGTTTCGGTTTGAAAGGTGGGATATGGCAGTGAATTTAAAGGGTTTTTTATACCACTGAGGTGGCAAATAAGCATAGGGCCCACCTGATAGTAAGCGGTTACCGTAGCCTATGAAAATCTGTAATACCAGGGGTTATACGCGCATGTTGCCGACCCTGAAGAAACCCCTTTACAAGCCTTTTGAAGAACCCCATGCTGTAGTTTCTTGAAAAAAGCTCGGTAGATAGCTCATTCCATAACCTGAGTGTTTGTGGGAGAAAACATCTCTGAAACCGCTTTGTACGCGACCATCTAGGCTGTATGAAGGTGAATTCCCTGTCGATGGCAAGTTGTACGATGATAAAGTAGTCATCATCAATGGGCATCATATTGACAATTTCTCTGAGCATAATCCGTTGTAAAAACGGATTGTACTCATTGTAGACTTGTTCAATATGATTGATCTCTGCTAAGACTTAAGGGTTCGATACCGCTTGTAAGCCTGGGATCACCAACGATTCTCATAGCTCGTCGTTGCATTCAAGCTCGTATCTAGGTGCTCCTGCCCATAACTGACAGCAATATTCCATGTGGAGATGGATTTGCGATTTGTAGAGTATTTATTATTAAGCACACCGAGTTTTTTAGATGTCAGCTTCACCTTATCTTTGAGGTGGTCACGAAACTGTACGTCACTAGAGAGGATACAGAGGTATAACACCTACTTGTTATTCCTAAGGACTAATCCTTAGGAATGACAATGCATGAATGTTATTATGGGTGAAACTGTATACTCGGTTTTTTTTATGGGTGAAAATGGTATGCTAACTCCGCCCGCACTAACGGGATACGCTGGCGGAGCACCAGTGAAGGGTGATGGATGAGAATGAAAACAGGTCAGTTAGCTCATCATGATGAATTCATCAGGAATTAATCATGATAGTTTCCAGGGGGAACCGCGACGAGGTCGACCTGGTTGGGTATATTGCTAGCAATGGGATTCTCAGTCTCCATTACTAACAATCCCTTTCCCCCCTGTATACTCTGTTATCTCTATGGTACCGTTCATGTCTATAGGCGACGGTTACTACTTTCCATTAGTTGGGCCGTCAGCTTGTTTGCCATTCTAAGTTGTATAAAAAAAATATAGGTATGAAAAAGCAGTTAATAAGCTTTCTTTATGATGTCCAATTTGCACGCGATAATTCTGATTGCATTTATACTATTCATTCATACATACAGTAACCACATACACTATATTTAAACCACCGTCGATACCTACACACTTTTAATTTAGTTTTATAAGCTTGTTTGTTTGTCATTTTAGTTGAATAAAAAAATACGAAAATTTTTGTTTTTAGTCTTTATTAAAAATTGTTTTTTTTTTTAATGGTATGAAAATTGAACGGCGATTCCACTTACGCAATTTGTATACCCTGGCGAAGTCTAGGGTATTAGTGAGGTATGATGGTTGTGGATGAAGTTAGGTCAATCCGCCTATTGTTACTAAAAGGGTTGTTTTTTTTAAGAGCTTAACTATAATATTTTTTTTTACAAGACATTAATATATATACAACCAGATATAGTTTCAGAGATGTTTTCTCCTACGAACACTCCGGTTATGGAATCAGCTCCCTGCCGAGGTTTTCCCAAGAGACTACAGCATGGGGTTCTTCAAAAGGGAGGGTAATGAGGTTTCTTCAAGGTCGGCAACACGCGCGTGATACCTCTGGTATTATGGGCGTTCATAGGCTACGGTTCAGGTATGCTTGTTTGCCACCTCAGTGGTATAAAAAAACCAGATATGTCGTATAGGACATCATTTTCGTGGGAGAGGGAAAAATCTTATCTACTTAAGACATTTTTAGTAACAGGGACTATTCCTTCGTGTCATTGCTAGCAATATATGGTACGTGTATATTAGCTTATTTAATGTGCTGGATAAATATATTGCAAATGTAGGTTAGCAAAAAAGTTTCTGCCAACGTCAATATTTTTTATTTGCGCAGGAAAGCTACGGAGGGAAATTGCCAAGCCAACAGAGGTAGAATAAATAATGGTAACATTTTTATTCAGCTCATGAGTTACAGAGTGCGTCAATGTCGTCTTGGACGAAAGCTCGATTTGACGATATTGCTTATTCGTACGTAGGTAGGTATTTCGATATGTCGTGGACGTATAATTCTTATTTTAAAATGTTATTAATTTCTTATTGCTTTCATTTTATAAAAATGCAGGTACTTACTTATTATTATACTAGTACAAGTTTCTGCTTGCAATTTCATATACGTGGATTTTGGTAGTGGGAAAACCACATCTAATTTGGTGTAGTAATTTTTGCGTAATGCTAGAATAAATCGACAGTTAGATAAAAGAATTTAATATTTTTATGGCTTTTTTGCTCTTATTAAGACTACACATATATTTTTTCTTAAATCTCTCTTATGTAAGGACAACAACTAGTTATAATCTTATTCCACATATGCACCTATTCTGTATTTATTTAAGGTAGGTATATTAGATATATTGGATAGGTTGTGATACAATATCAGATCGATATAATATATACATATATACATGTATGGTAGTCACTCTGTGAAGTGGAAGTGAATAACCAAATGCGGAGGAAATTGAACCGAAGGGGCTTATGTATCAGTATCAGTAATGAAACTGAAACCGGAAACGATTCTGTGCTCCGTTCTTTGCATCAATGTAGCATTATGATTGTATAGCAATTCACTTGTGTTATTAAGAAGGCAATAGCATCTATCACACCATGAATAGGAGATAAATTAGAGTTAATAAATTTTGTTTCATAAAAAGTAAACTTTAATATTAATAAGGTTTAGAACTTAAACTCCAGAACCACGAGTATAAATTGATGGAGATGTTGGGAGGGGCCGTCCTAGATGGGCGTATGTCGAACAAATAGGCAACATGGCGAAAAAGGGTCAAATTAAAGGTACCTGTAACCGGCAAGGCAAACCTGTGTGAATAGAAAGATGCATGTGAAGGAAGAGAAAGAGGTCTGTTTGAATAGGAGTAGTTTACGTTCCATTGTTTCTCCATACTCCAATGGAAAACAGGTGTGACGGATGTATATGTATATACTTATAAACAGACTGAGATAAAATTACTATGAGACCAATCAGAAAGTATATCCCTTCACTTAAAAAAATCCATATCTGTTTACAAATGAGGAAGTAACTGAGGCAACGAACAAAATAATATACAACCGAATTGAGAACCTTCTTTTTTGTGAAAGTGACTAAAAATATGACAAATATATATCTAATTGTGTTTAATTTATAATATTAATTAATATTATTTATGTCACTATTATATGAATAAAGATAATACCATGACTCGATCTACTTTATATCTTGCAGTTGTGTTTAATACTTAGTTATGTGACTCAGGCAAGTATACACAGTTTATGGAAATCCTCATGGGAATAGAGGCAAATAGAGGTGATAGATCTAATATCTTGTAGGTTATCAGGTAAACGGTGCTTATAATACACTCGAACATGTATGCATGATATATATGTTCTCGAAGAGAAGAATAGTTATTATGGTTATAGGGGAAGCCATATTAGGTATAATAAAATAATGGGTATAAAAGATGGGATTAAGATAGATAAGTACGTGCCTGAAGTTTATGAATAGTTTTTAATTTTAGCAAGTACGATAAATCGATATATTCTATGTAAATAAATATA